TCGTCGTCGTGCTCGTCGCACTCGTCGTCGCACTCGTCGTCGTCGCACTCGACGTCGTCGTACTCGTTGTGTTGGTAGTGCTCGTTGTATTCGTCGCCGCACTCGTGGTCGTCGTCGTCCTCCTCCTCCTCCTCCTCGTCCTCCTCCTCCTCGTCCCACCCCATCCTGTCAACTCCTCCGCACTCCTCTCAATTCCTCCGCACTTCCCTCAACTCCTCCGCACTCCTCTCAACTCATCCTCTCATATCCTTCTGTACTCCTCCTTCTGCACTCCTCCGCACTCCTCTCAACTCCTCCGCGCTCCTCTGAACACCTCCGCACTCCTCTCAAATCCTCCTCCTCACAACTCCTCCGCACTCCTCTCAACTCCTCCTCCTCGCAACTCCTGCACGGCCGCGCACGGCACGGCACGGCACGGCGCCGACGAAAGGCATGGCACGGCAGTGATTCCCGACGGCCCCGGGGCTTTGAGCGTGCCTCCAGACACCGAAAGAAGCGAAAAACCGCCTCGAACCTCGAAGTGCGTCGCCGTCGTCGTCGTCGTCGCCGCCAGACATGGTCAGACCTCCGGCGGCGCAGTGCTCCCTCGGGCCCCGGATGGGGCGGGCGCGGCAGGGGGCGGGAGCGGGGGCCGGGAGGACCGGCCAGAGCTCCTTCGGACCGACGAAAGTCTTGCTGCTTAGTATATGCCTTTGGAATATGCAATATGCACACTGCACACGTCCTGAAAGTTTTGCTGCTTAGTATATGCCTTTGGAGGAGGCAAATTGCCGCCTCCAAAGCCGAGAGCCAGGGTGCTGACTCCAATTTACTTGATAAAAGCCAGGCCTGACGGCATTTCGCCAGCCAGTGTTCGAGAGGTCTCTGGCAGCCGTGTCAGGAGGCCACGAGCCCCAATCGAGCCACATGTCTCAGCAATATTCTCGCAGGGCGCTGGCCTAGGGTCCGCAGCCGAGCAGAGTTGGCTCGTCGGGTTTCGTAAACCACCGAATTCGCTTCGCGACCGTCGTCGCTCACTCTCTTCCTTGTCCCTCCCCCCCGCCGAGAGCCAGGGTGCTGACTCCAGCTTACTTGATACAGGCCAGGCATGGCGGCACTCTGGAAAACGCAGCGCCTGCAGCTCCGCCGAAAAAGGGTTGAAGGCAAGCGACATACAGGCGCGGGAGGATGCACATAGCCCACGTGCAATGCAGCCAGGCGCACGCCAGCCGCGAGCTGGGCATGCATGCGCCAAGTCGTCCGTGCAGGGCGCGGCAGAGGGTACACGATGCCGCTTGGAGGGTTCAGATCCCTCTCCTCCTCCTCCTCCTCCTCCTCCTCCTCCTCCTCCTCCTTCTCCGCCTCCTCCTCCTCCTCCTCCTCCTCCTCCTCCTGTTCCTCCTCAATGACGTCCCGAACGGTATTTGCGCTGGAGAAAGCTGTTCCCCACCTAGCTACGGCCCCGCTCGGCAGAGGGGGGCCGCCCTGCACTCCCCGTCGGCGGCCGCCCTCCCGCCGGCGTGCACGTGGCCGCTGCGCGCTGCACGCCGCAGTTTAATCTCTCGGGGAACGGAAAATGGCATAAGCATAAAAACTCGGAGGTCCGCGCGAATTTCTTTTCACGGGCGAAGAACGGTATAACATAAACGTTTTCGCTGTCGGGGGCGCATGGCTCTGGGCGGCTGGAAAGTTTATACCCGTCCTCGCCAGACCACGGGGCGACCGGCGCGTATAGAGACCGCAGCGAGAGACCACCCCCCGCGCACCCCCTATGGTGTCGAGAAAGTGCCACGCCTGCTATGCCTGGACGACCGGCGCGTATAGAGACCGCAGCGAGAGACCACCCCCTGCGCACCCCCTATGGTGTCGAGAAAGTGCCACGCCTGCTATGCCTGGACGGCCGCGCGTATACCGGCGCGTATAGAAACCGCAGCGAGAGACCACCCCCTGCGCACCCCCTATGGTGTCGATAAAGTGCCACGCCTGCTATGCCTGGACGACCGGCGCGTATAGAGACCGCAGCGAGAGACCCCCCCCTGCGCACCCTTTATGTTTGTCGAGAAAGTGCCACGACGCTATGCCTGGACGACCGGCGCGTATAGAGACCGCAGCGAGAGAGACCATAGCAGGACGACTGGGGCGTATAGAGACCGCAGCGAGAGACCACCCCCTGCGCACCCCCTATGGTGTCGAGAAAGTGCCACGCCTGCTATGCCTGGACGACCGGCGCGTATAGAGACCGCAGCGAGAGACCACCCCTGCGCACCCCTTATGGTGTCGAGAAAGTGCCACGCCTGCTATGCCTGGACGACCGGCGCGTATAGAGACCGCAGCGAGAGACCACCCCCTGCGCACCCCCTATGGTGTCGAGAAAGTGCCACGCCTGCTATGCCTGGACGACCGGCGCGTATAGAGACCGCAGCGAGAAACCACCCCCTGCGCACCCCCTATGGTGTCGAGAAAGTGCCACGCCCGCTATGCCAGGGCGACTGGGGCCACGCCTGCTATAGCAGGACGACTGGGGCGTATAGAGAACGCAGCGAGAGACCACCCCCTGCGCACCCCCTATGGTGTCGAGAAAGTGCCACGCCTGCTATGCCAGGACTGGTGTCGTCTTGTGTGTGCGAGTGTGTGCATGCGTGCGGCTGTGTGTAGACGCGTGTCGCCGACACGTGCTGTGCTGTGCTCTGCTGAGCTGTGCTGTGCTGTCCTATTCTGTGCTGCGGTCTGCTGTGCTGCGCTGTGCTGAGGAGGAGGAGGAGGAGGAGTCGAGGAGGAGCGACGTGCGGTATGAGGAGGAGGAGGAGGAGGAGGAGGAGGAGGAGGAGGAGGAGGAGGGGAGGAGGGCGGGTGTGGGGGAGACGCGGGCGCGGCGCGGCAGGGAAGAAAACCATAACCCCACGAAGCATGTGGGGAATAATACATTGTCGGTGTTCATAAATTCTTTGGTTCTTCGGTGGGTCTCGCGTTACGGAGTATCAGTAATCTACTCCAACCCGGGGGGGGGGCTGAAGGGGATGAGGCCGGCAGGCGGGGGTCACACCGTTCCCCGCTCCCTCGGACTGCCGCCTCGCCGAATTCGAAATCACGCGGCCAGCAGGCGAGGCTCTCACCGTTCCCCGCTCCCTCAGGCTGCTGACCTCGTGATTTCGCGGGTCGGGGCCAGCGGGCGGAGGTCTCACCATTCCCCGCTCCCTCAGGCCGCTGGCCGTTAACAGACCCGCCCCCCCTTAACCCCCTCTGGTGCGATACATGTATCCCACGAGCGTGGCCGAAATTCGGAGCTAACCTAGTCGTGTTTCACAAGCGGGAGTTAATCAATCCGTTCGTCCTTCGGCGGGGCTCGAGTTACGGAGTATCAGTAATCTACTGCAGCCCGGGGGGGGGGGGGCTGAAGAGGATGAGGCACACCGTTCCCCGCTCCCTCAGGCCGCTGGCCCTTAACAGACCTGCCCCCCCCTTAACCCCCTCTGGGTGCGATACATGTGTCCTACGAGCGTGGCCGAAATTGCTGAGCGTGGGCGTATATGATGATGGATGACTGAGGCGTCTAGAGACCGCGGTGAGAGACCATCCCTTGCGCACCCCCTATGGTGTCGAGAAAGTGCCACGCCTGCCAAGCCTGCGCACCCCCTATGGTGCCGAGAAAGTGCCACGCCTGCTATGCCAGGACGATTGGGGCGTATAGAGACCGCAGCGAGAGACCACCCCCTGCGCACCCCCTATGGTGTCGAGAAAGTGCCACGCCTGCTATGCCAGGACGACTGGGACGTATAGGGACCGCGAGCGAGAGACCACCCCCTGCGCACCCCCTATGGTGTCGAGAAAGTGCCACGCCTGCTATGCCAGGACGACTGGGGCGTATAGAGACCGCAGCGAGAGACCACCCCCTGCGCACCCCCCTATGGTGTCGAGAAAGTGCCCACGCCTGCTTGCTGGGACGACCGGCGCGCATAGAGACCGCAGCGAGAGACCACCCCCTGCGCAGGTGTCGAGAAAGTGCCACGCCTGCTATGCCTGGACGACATAGAGACCGCAGCCCACCCCCTGCGCACCCCCTATGGTGTCGAGAAAGTGCCACGCCTGCTATGCCAGGACGACTGGGACGTATAGAGACCGCAGCGAGAGACCACCCCCTGCGCACCCCCTATGGTGTCGAGAAAGTGCCACGCCTGCTATGCCAGGACGACTGGGACGTATAGAGACCGCAGCGAGAGACCACCCCCTGCGCACCCCCTATGGTGTCGAGAAAGTGCCACGCCTGCTATGCCAGGACGACTGGGACGTATAGAGACCGCAGCGAGAGACCACCCCCTGCGCACCCCCTATGGTGTCGAGAAATTGCCACGCCTGCTATGCCAGGACGACTGGGACGTATAGAGACCGCAGCGAGAGACCACCCCCTGCGCACCCCCTATGGTGTCGAGAAAGTGCCACGCCTGCTATGCCAGGACGACTGGGACGTATAGAGACCGCAGCGAGAGACCACCCCCTGCGCACCCCCTATGGTGTCGAGAAATTGCCACGCCTGCTATGCCAGGACGACTGGGACGTATAGAGACCGCGAGCGAGAGACCACCCCCTGCGCACCCCCTATGGTGTCGAGAAAGTGCCACGCCTGCTATGCCAGGACGACTGGGAGGACTGGTGTCGTCTTGTGTGTGCGAGTGTGTGCATGCGTGCGGCTGTATGTAGACGCGTGTCGCCGAGACGTGCTGTGCTGTGCTCTGCTGAGCTGTGCTGTGCTGTCCTATGCTGTGCTGCGGTCTGCTGTGCTGTGCTGTGCTGTGCTGTGCTGTGCTGAGGAGGAGGAGGAGGAGGAGGAGGAGGAGGAGGAGGAGGAGGAGGAGGGGAGGAGGGCGCGGGTGTGAGACGCGGGCGCGGCGCGGCAGGGAAGAAAACCAGAACCCCACGAAGCATGTGGGGAAAAATCACTGTACGTCCTGGGGTCCCAGTGCGCCAGGGGTGGGCGCTGGAGATGCGCGCGCGCGCGCGGGCGCACACGCCGCGGCGGGGCCGAGGCCGCGATCCCCCGCGGCGGCTTCCTGCGCGGCCTGCCCTCCGACGGCCCGCGGTCGCCGCGCGAGGCCCGCCGTCGGAGGAGGAAGGAGGTCAGGAGGGGAACAAACACACAGACACAGTTAATCGTCGACTCCCGGGAAAATATGGGAAAAGATTGGAAGTGGGGGGGAAGACGAAAGCCCAGAAAATACTATAAAATATGGGGGATCCTGTTATTTGTGTGCATCTATTTGTGTGTCCCAGGGCCCCTTCAAGAGGTTCGGGGTTCGAGGTGGTCCGAGGTTTCTGGACGTTTTCAAAGTGCCTCGGCGGCTTCAGCCCGTGGGCGCCTTCCAGCGCCTGCGCCTCGCCGAGGGCATCCCGGGGGCGCCCCGATGGTCCCGAAGGGCCGCCGGAGAGCCGAGGAATGACCCGAAGACCAGCGTCGGGAGAGGTCGGAGGAGGAGAAGGTACTCATAGCGGTACCCTGGCCTCGTTTTCGCCTCTGGGGGGTTCCCAGGAGGCCCTCGGCGCCACAGCCGGATTCGCCTCGAAATCTGGTCAGGACGCCGCCCGTGAGAGTCTTAGGAGTAGCGGTGTTGGTACTTTTTGGCCTCTCCAGGGAAGGCGATCGGAGGCAGCGAAGTCAGAGGAGGTCATTCGCCGGTTCCACTCTTGTCACTGCCACGCCGTGGTGAGATGCAGTGATTGTGCGCTCCCCATGTCCGCTTCCTATGGAAAAGGTCGGCCACGCGCGGGGGGGGGAAGGCTTCCCAGAAACACCCCTGCTTCTTGGAAGGCGCGAGCCTTATGTATATATATATATCACATATAGATATGTATAAGGCCTGCGCCTTCAAAGAAGCAGCCTCCTTCTCAGAAGTCTTCTCCCCTCCCCCTACCCCCTTGTGCGCGCCGCGAACTATCCTTCCTCCCCATCACGATCCCCAACATCTCACCACCCCAGTTGGGGACACGCTCCTCGAGACTCGAAGGGAACAGCCCATACTCCCATCTAGAGGGCAAACCCGCCAGTCGGGCCCAGACCACCCGCGTAGGGACAGGGACAGGGACCGGCTCAACGATTTTCACCTTTTCCGTCGCCGCCGGTGGTCGCAATCAGCTGCCCAGGCCGCGTGCGGGTGTGCGAAGAGCATCACGCCTCGCTCGCGGTCAGGGCTGGAGAGCTGCCCTGCCCCGGGGGCTGGGGCGCAGGTAGCGGGGGTTGGCGCTCACAGGGGTCAGCCCTCGCACCCCCCTCCCCCTTCCCCTCCCCCATGGAGTAGGTCTTGGCCGTTTTTGGTGCCTGTTCCGAGCAGGTGGAGCCTCTCCCCCATAGGACGCACTGCCGCAAACAGTCGCACGAAGCAGAGGTCCAGAGCCAGACCCTCCCCCCTCCCCCCCCCCTTCCGCCCAACGTCGAAACGCCGAATAGGAAAACGCTTACTAGCTCTGATCCCTTCTGATCCCTTCCGATCCCTTCTGATCCCTCCCGATCCCTCCCGATCCCTTCTGATCCCTTCTGCTCCCTTCCCGCTGACGGGCAGGCGGACCCTTGTGATCCCCCTGACCCCTCCTTGAGAGCCAGGTGGAGCCAGCTCCCCCATCCCACTCCTCCGCAGACCCAGGCCTGGGAGCTACTACTCTGAAATCGGGCATGTCCCCCTACAGGAGGAGTATTCAAACATAGTCCACAAATTCTCTGGGGACGAATTTTCGGTCATTTGTGTTAACTACGTCTGAACATGTTCTGGCTATTAGTCAGCTTTCTTCAAAAACCCGCCTGCAGGAGGACATGCCCGATCTCATACCACTCGTGCGGCTGGCCCGGGACCTGGACATGGCCCTGGCCAAGGCGGGCCAGCGTTGGCCCAGGTCGGCGCGCCCCCGAGCGAGGGCGCGGCGCGAACCGCGCAGGAGGAGGAGGAGGAGGAGGAGGAGGAGGAGGAGGAGGAGGGCGGAGGAGGAGGAGGAGGAGGGAGGAGGGAGGAGGGAGGGGGCGCGGAGCCCAGCGTCTGGCGATCTGGAGTCGGCCGCCTGGCTCCAGGTCTGGGGGCGCGGTGCGAGGCTCAACCGCATCCTGTCAGCTTGTTGCCAGAAGACGCCCGCGCGCTGTCGGGTGCCACTCCCCGTTCCTGAGAGCCTGTCTCCTCGTTCCCCCCAATTCTGCCCCCTTCTCGTTCCCCCCCTCCCTCCCTCCCTCCCTCCCTCCCTCTCCCTCTCCTCCTCCCTGCCTCTCCCCGGCTCCTCCTCGGCACCGCTTCCTTCCCCTCCTCCTCCCACTCGTCCTCCGTCTGCCCCCGCGCGGCCCCCGAGGCTCGTTGAGTGCTTCGGGGCAAGGGGGGCGGGCCACAAAGTCCCGCACGCGCAGCGCAGCTTCGAAGGGATGCCCCCGCAGCTGCCCAGGGGCCAGGGAGCCGCTATAGGCCACTGTTACCGTTTCTGCGGTGCCCTTCGCGCCCGGGTCCAGGGTCAGCTCCGTGCCTCGTGTGCTGGGCATCTCGCTCCTGGATCCCCTTCCGTCTCTCGAGTCCGTGCCCCCGCCCTCCCCCCCGAGGCGTTGAGAAAACACTGGAACATTGCAGATTGGCGTGCACGGCTGCATGGGCAGCAAAAACCGGCCCCTGGCGACAGCACGCCCTCGCGCCTCCTAGGGCTCCTCGTCATCGTCGTCTTGCTCGGCATCGTCCCCAAGCTCCTCTGGGAGCGGAGCTCCTGCTGCTATAGTTTCGTCGCCCCGGCACACGGACGAGTGCCCAGTGGGTATTTGGGGTCAGTGATGGCGTCGGGATCAGCAGTCGGAAGCGCATCCGTTGTCGACAGCAAGCAAAGACGGACGTTGGCGACGAGATGTCGTGGGCTTCTCGGGGTTTACCCGATGGACGCGCTGGACCCGGTTATCTCTCGATGCCTGCAGCCGTGCGAGATTCTGCCGTCGATGTCCCATCAGGTTCTCAAAAGTGAGGCGTTCCAGAAAGGGTCTCTCGCCTTGGAGGATCGCAGGAGCTGTCATCTCTTCCTCGGCGGAAGGCCGGTGGGAGTAACACGAGGCTATACCTCCGCCGCCAGAAGCCGGCGGGAGACGGCGACAGTAAGAGATGCGCCCGCAAGTCAGGAGGGAAAAAAAACACAGACACAATTAATCGGCGATTCCCAGAAAATATGGGAAAACATGGGAGGTGGGGGGGAAGACAGAAACCCAGAAAATATAGGAAAACATGGGGAATCTTTTTATTTGTGTGTATTTATTTGTGTGTCCCAGTTCCCCTTCAGCAAGGCATGACAGCCTTTTGGGTGCATGGTTTCCAGAGTCGGCCATGCTGCAAGGCACAGACACCAACTTCAATACGAATCCCACCGCGACGTTGCCATCGTTCGGGGCCCGCATCGAGCTCGTTGGGCTCGACTGCCATGCTTTCAGCCTGGCCAGCCTGACTGGGCCGATTCCTGATTCCAGCTCGAACGCTCAGCTGGTTATGCTCGCTGCTTGTCACAACGACTTCTATGATATGATGCCATCGTTCAAGCGTTGTAATCACGTTTCAGGGTTTCCCAGTATATCAGGATTGTCAAGTCGCAACTTGTTCTCGAGTGTATGGATGCATGTGATGGCTTTGGCTGTCAACTTGCGTGTGCCTGCTCGGATTAGGAAAAGCAAAGCGGTGAATGGAGGCAAGGACCGTTCATCGTGGGTGGCTTGTTTGTTAGTGAAGATGTTTGGACGTTGCTTCGCATGCTTGGAGACTTCATCACCCACGGCATGTAAAAGTGTGCATTTTGAAACAGGAGAAGACCAAGCCCGAGGACCGCAACAAGTCGATGGGGTACCGTGGCAAGACACGTTGCGGAATGGATAGGAACCATTTGTTTCGGACTTTGGCCACGAGGTGTCTGATGCGAGCGGCCTGTTGAGGATTCAAGGCCAGGTTCCTCCACTGAAGCACGGACGAGGAGAGCATAACACTTTGTCTCGGCCCGTGCTGGAGGCTCGAAGGCCGACGTGCGCGCATCACCATCCTGGAAGGGGACAGGCGGCAGTTCTTGAGTGCTGCCGCAACGAGCGCCCTGCGCATCGTCTTTCAAAGAGCCTGCTATTTACAGGAAGGTGGCCAGGCTGAATTCTCAGCACTTGCGTGGTACCGGTCCTCGGGGGCTGAATTGCCACTGCGACGTCGCTTCCGCCACCGCCTGTCATCCCTGTGCTCTGGCACTTCGGCTTAACCGTCTCAGCCGTGCAATCTAGGATTGGTCCGCCACGATCTTTTTCTGGATTTACCGTATGGCCACCAATGGAGTATGACACACCCAAGCCTTTTCTCACAGGAGGCGGCCCAAAGCCTGGCTCGTGTCGCATTGCAGGCCATCGAGTTACCCCTTGGCAGGAAAGCTAGTCGTAGGCCTCGACACTATGCTGCCCCTCCCCCCCTCTCCTCCCCTTGTCCCCCGTCTTCTGTTCTCCTCCCTTCTCTTCTCTCTTCCCCGCCGTTCGCCCCCACTCAGGCCCCCACGTTGAGGAGGCAATAAGGTACCGATACTAGGCCTCTCTGGGGTGCGTTCTGACTAGAATTTCGAGGCGAATCTGGCGGTGGTGATGAGGGCCTCCCAGGAGGCCCACGACGGCGAAATCGTGGGAATGGTGGTAAGCGTATCCTGTTCTTCCTCTGGGCCTCTCCTAATGTTAGCTTTCGGGCCATAGCTGGGCTCTCCGGCGGCCGTTCGGGACGATCTGGGCACCCCGGGACCGCCCTCGGCGAGGCGCAGGCGCTGGCAGGCACCCCGAGGCTGGAACGCCGCTGTGAACCTACGAAAGCGTCCCCCGCCCAGGCCCCCACCTGCCCTTCTTCTGCCCCCGCACCAGAGCCCCTCTCTGCGGGAAGGGCGCCCCGCTGGGCGCGTCCTGTCGGTTGGCTGGCAGCGTCGTCCCCGAGAGCGCGGAGACCGCTGCTGACGGCTCGGCGCCGCTGGCGGGGGGCAGCCAGGAGCGTGGAGGAGGGAGGCCCTCGGAGACACGCCGGGAGACTCGGGGATCGGAGGAGAAACGGGTGCCCATACCGCTGCCCTTCCCTCGCTTTCGCCGGTGTTGGCCTCCTGGGCGGCCCTCGTCGCCACCGCTGGATTCGCTTCGAAATTCTGGTCAGAACGCAACCCGGGAGAGGTCCGGGGATTCGTGGCATTGGTACCCTGTTGGCATCCTGAGAGGAGGCCTTTCGGAGGCACGCTGGGAGGCTCGGGGGGCCCCCCCCCCCCCGTGGGTCTGGAAGGTCGCTGGGTGCCCCCACCCGGCCCAACGCTCCTTTCGACTCCTCCGACTCGAGTCGATTCGATCTCGATCGATTCCGATTCCGATTCGAGTAAGCTTCGGATTCCGATCGGGGGTCCGGCGTCTCGACGGAGGCCTTACCAGCCGGCCGATGTCCGCCGCTGTGGCTTCTCCCGACTTGGCTGCCGACTCCTGCCGATCCGATTCATCTCGATCGCCGATTCGACTCATCGATCCGATGCTGGGCTCTCCTGCCTAGCGTGGTGCCTCTGCAGCTCCTGGAAGTCTGGGGGGGGCCTCGGCTCGGTTCGGGGTACTCGTGGGTCAGGAGGCTGCGGCGGGGTCCCTCCCGCTCTTCCGTTTTTTTTTTTTTTTTGTTGTTCTGAGCTGATGCCCAGCAGTCCGACAACCACGTCCTGGCAAGCTCGACATCATGGATCTCTCCCTCTCGAAACGGCGCTTGAGGTGTAGGACGCGCTGTCTGGCACCTTCAACTTGTCGCTCGAGGGGCTCCTCTGCGGGGATGCGACGCTGCTTATCTTGGCGACGAGCCACGTCTGTTACTGGGCCAACGCGGTCTTGCCTCCGAATTTCTCTGCCATCTTGATGAGGCATTTTACATCCTCTGGAGCGGAGTCGGGCAGCGCATTGGGCGACGGGCGGGTTGTCGGGGGCCTCTCTGCCATGCCCCGCGGGTCTGCATTGCCTCGGAGACTGGTGCTTCATTTCGGAGCCGCCCGCAGTGTTCGCACCAAATGTAGTGCCGCAAGTTCTTGCCACTTCCACAAATCTTCGTAGCTGCACTTCCACGTAGGTCTCCTACCGTACGTACCATTGGCGATGCGACGGTCCCGACCCTCCGTCCATGGCGGGAGCTTCGACGGCGCCATGGCCGCACACAAACTGGGGAGGAACGGGACATATTCGCAGAGACGATCTGCACGAACCTAAATGGCGTGCGTTTGCACCGTCGTTCTGCAGTTCGCAGTCGCAAGCTCGAACATGGGCCAGGACGGCTTGAGCCAAAATGGCCACGGAGTAGGAGGAGGTGGTGGTGGTGGAAGACGATGACGAGGACGAGGACGTGGACTACCATTGGGACGGGGAGGGGACGAAGGGACGATGATACTGACGACGACGACAACGGCGGCGACGACGACGACGACGGCGACGGCGGCGGCAGCGGCGACGACGATGGTGATGACGACGACGACGCCGGTGACGACGACGCTGGCCCGCAGGAGCGGGCGGAGCCCGTGTGGCTCAGCCTGCGGCTTCCCTGGCTGCTGCTGCTCGCGCCGTCGCCTGGCGCGGCTCCCTACGCCCTGGTGCGGCTGTCCGGCGCCGCGCTGCTCCAGGCGGCGGCAGGGCTTCCAGGCTTGGCATCGCTCGGACGTGTGCATGTTCGCCTCGGCGAGGACCATCGAGGAACATCTCGGATCATGTTCGAAAAAGAAGCGCAGGAGATCGACGAATACACGGGAAATGGACGTCCGAACGATGGCAAAAAGGGGGGGAGCCGTGGCCGTGGCCATGCTAATAAGCCCCGGGGACGAACAAAAATGTTCCGACTCCGCTGCCCCTGCTTCGTTTCACCCTTTTCTGAACCTCGGGGGAGGCATTTGTCGCCACCGCCGGATTGTCGTCGAGATTGTTGTCAGAACGCTCCCCAGGACCCAGGAGAGGTTCGGGGAGGATAAGGAGGAGGAGGAGGAGGAGGAGGAGGAGGAGGAGGAGGAGGAGAAGAAGGAAGAGGAGGAGAAGGAGGAGGAGGAGGAGGAGGAGGAGGAGGAGGAAGAGGAGGAGGAAGAGGGGCAGGAGTTGGAGGAGGAGGAGAAGGAGGAGGATGAGCAGGAGGAGGAGGAGCGAGGAGGAGGAGGAGCAGGCGGAGGAGGAGGAGGATCGAGGAGGAGGATCGAGGAGGAGGATCGAGGAGGAGGAGGAGGAGGAGGAGGCGGACGAGGAGGAGCGAGGAGGAGCGCGGAGCGAGGAGGAGCGAGCATCGGTGTACCTTCCAGTTCTTCCAGCAGCGGACAGTCTCCCCGGGTGGGGCAGGGCTTCTGCCCCCGACGGGAAGCCCTTGGCTGAGCCCGGATCACCCCTTTCTCCATGGTCTGCTTCGGGGCTCCCCTCTCCTGACTCCTCCTGCGTCTTCCTCCGCCTCCTCCTCCTGCTTCTTCCTCCGCTTCCTCCGCCTCCTCCTCCTCCTCCTCCTCCTTCGTCCTCCGTCCTGCGCCGATGACGCTTCTTCCTTGTCTTCGCGCATGGCGTCCTCATCTTCCTCTGTGCTCAAGGCCACCCGGGCCCAGCCTCGGGGTATACGTTCCTGCACGCATACCAAGGTCTTTTAGTGTCTGACTCTTCCTCTTCCGCCTCTGCGTTGTTTTCCGTCCTACGACAACGACGTGATATTCGTTTCTTCTACTCGCCCTTACTCGTCGTCCTCCTCCTCCTCTTCTTTGCCCATGCCGTGTGTAGCAGGGTTCAGCCAGAGGTCCTTGTGGGATTCGGCGTCTGGCCAACGCGGCCTCTGCTTTGGGCGCCCAGGATGTCAATCACGCACAGCGTTGGTATTACCTGGGACCGCGCTCTCCACCCAATCAACATAGAAAAGACGATGACCTCGGCGGCGCCTGCGCCAGCCGCGCCGGCGCTGGCGGCGACTGTGAGGTTTTTTTGTTATATCTACGTGTCGTTGTTTTCCTTATTGTCTTCAAATGTCACCGAGAATTCTCAAGCCACTCAGAGAATCACATGCGCTGTATATGTCATGTGTATTATCCTCGTTATTTTTGTTCCATCCTTCTCCCCTGCACCAGCCGCCCGTGTGAAAGCTTAAACGGTGGATCTTCAAAACGCTGAAGCCGTCCAGGCTGTCACGCAGTCTCCAGTAGGAGGAGGAGGAGGAAGCGGAGGAGGAGGAGGAGCAGGAAGAGGGGCAGGAGTTGGAGGAGGAGAAGGAGGAGGAGCAGGAGGAGGAGGAGGAGCGAGGAGGAGGAGGATGAGGAGGAGGAGGGAGAGGAGGGGGAGGAGGAGGAAGAGAAGGAGGGGAAGGAGGAGGAGGAGAAGGAGGAGGCGGAGGAGAAGGAGGAGGTTTTCCTAGTCCACCTCGTCCATCTCGTGCACCTCCTCTCTCCTCCTTCCCTCTCCTTCCCCCTTCTCTTTTTTCTCCTCCTCCTCCTCCTCCTCCTGCACCTCCTCCTCCTCCTCCTCCTCCTCCTCCTCCTCCCCTTCCCTCCTCCTCCTCTTCCCTCCTCCTCCCCTTCGCCCTCGCCCTCGCCCTCGCCGTCCATCGCTCCCCCTCCCCCCTTTCACCCGTAGGGGTTGCACTGGCTTCCCCAGTGGAATAGCAGCATGCATGAGAAAAGAGAGTCTGGCTAAGTAGCTGCCAACTCACATGACGAATGCATGCGACGTTGTTGGTTTTCAAAGCAAGGGGGCGACTGAGCAACGCTGTTGAGCAGTTCACTGATTGGCAGCATGTGCTTACACTACCACGGACGCGAACAAGACTCAGTCTGTGGGCGCCGCATCCAGTTACGGTGAAGGCGTTGGATGAGGAAACCTTGCATAAGAAATTCAGGGTCTGGAAGTCATTGGATTTCCAATTATGGATCGAACATGGACCATGGGTATCGCGACTGCCTTCACCAGGTAAGGAATCATCCAGGGTCTGGACCATCCTGGACACATTCCTTAACCAACGCCACCACCGTAATTTATGGGGAAGACACTTTCGATCTTGAGACAAACGAAGCAAGCACGCATCAATTCCTGGGGAACACATTGGCAGAGCTCACGGAAAGGCGACGGAAGCAGGCCGCTTGCGCGGGCGGAGCATCGCCGCAGAAGCCGTTGGCCGCTTGCGCACAACTTCGGCGCTAGCAGCGGGGCATCGCCGCAGCAGCCGCTGGCCTTCTGCGCAAAACTTTGGCGCTCGCAGGCAGGCGGCCGACGTCGACGCGCGGATTCGCGCGCGCTGCCAGGCGCACATTTGGTGCGATCGTTGACGGGTGCTGGGCGAAGGTGCACAGCGCAGCCTGAAGCAGCTCGCGCTCCTGGTGGCGCTCGGTCAGAGGCAAACTCTTCCTGCCCAAACCTGCCAGAAGCTTGGCAAAGGTACAAATCGCACAAGCTGCGCCCGCGTTGCGCTCTGTCTGACTAAAGACATTGCGGAATAATGCTTTTAATTGCATTTGGGATGTTTCGTTCTTCGTTGTTCCATACGTCACCTGAATGCCAGGGTTCCGCGCAATGAGTTTATCCAGTTTCAGGAGGTACTCGAGCTGTGCGGGCGACGCTGCATATCGCAAGCTTCCCAAGACAGTGGTATGCTTGCCAGTCGTCTTGACCATCTCCCGCGGGAACATGTTACACGAAGGAGACTGCGTTGCGGCACAGTCGCTCGGGGTAGCCTTCGGCCTTGATCGCCGACATGGCTCTCGCCGCAGAAGTTTCCGACAGCGAGGACATCGCATCTTCCAGTGACTGCGAATCCGTTCACCGCCGCTGCCCGCGGCACTAAGTCTTGCCATCGCCCGAGCCTTTCGAAAACTTCACGATGCATCGGCGGATGAGATTAGATAGCGGGGTGCGCTGCTCGCCGGATGCCTGCTCGACCTTGAGCGCGATGCGCGGGGGGTCCTTGGAGAGGCGCTGCAGCCGCGGGAACGCGGCGCGGAGGGCGGCGTCCTCCAACGGCATGGTCGCATCTGGACAGATCATGCGCACTTGCGTCGTGCCGTCGGGCAGAGCTTTCTTCGCATGCGCGAATGCCTTCGACGGTGCCGGCTTAACCGTAAGAGCCGAGTCCATGCACTGAGCCGACAACTGGACGTGGACACCTGGCTATCGTTCACCTCCGGATGCTCCATGCTGCGTCTGGTACAATACCGAAAGCAGGGTTGAGTTCTGCCCGTCGCTGCCGATCACAGTTTTGTCCACTTCCTCGCGGCACTTCGCAATCATGTTCTCGATGCGGCAGTGTTTCAATGAACCCTCCACGAAGGTTACATGAACGCGGGCGTCGCCTGGAAAAAGATACCGGATGAAAGCTGCTGCGTCCTTCAAGTGCGCCCAAGCTTGCTTCTGGGACCCCTTGGTGTCCGAGTGGAGCAAAGCGGACAGGAACGAAGCCAAGAAAGCATTGGTGCAGTGGTAACGCTCGTTGACTCGGTGGAACAGCCTTGCGTCCGCGCGTAAAATGAAACGAGTGCGATCGCCAGCATGGAGCAGGAGGACTGCGTGTCGATCGGAGTCAGTCCAGCTCAGCTGATGCTTGACCTCGTCCCAAGATGGACACTCTCCACACCCGTTCCGAATGAACTCTGCGCTGCGCGAAAGCAGCGAGCTCGGCCCATGTCCATCTCCGCTCGTAGTCCAGCGGCTTGCAGAACGCATGCATAATACTGAACAGTTCCACATCGCATGGATCACGCGCATCTGTTTGTTCGACGCGCCACGTGAGCTTTTGCCAGCGTGCAGATTGCGCGCGTGGGAGACCACTTTATTTCTCCGCTGGAAAGGTTTGAAAGGGCACACCGGGCAGCGCCGCAGGTCATCTCGTCTGGCGGCGGCAGCGTTCTTTGCATCGCTGAGGGTCGACAAGGTAGCTGCGGCTTCTTGCCTCGTTGTCCCGGCAAGCCCCCCTGGCGCCTGCGACAGATTGGAATGGCGGCCGCCGCCGACGAGGTCGTGCGCATCGTCGCCCATGAGAAGCAGATCCGCCACCGCACCTGCATCGGTGTGCGTGTGTGTGTGCTTGTGCGTGTGCGTGTGAGTGTGAGTGTGAGTGTGTGTGTGTGTGTGTGTGTGTGTGTGTGTGTGTGTGTGTGTGTGTCGGGCCCTTTCGCTCCTTGCGAAGCAATCATTAGGGCCCCCCGACGCATCGAGCCCAAGATGCGATCATTTTTGTTGCCCAGCCGCTTCGTTGTTGTCTCTCAAACCAAAAATGTACTCCAGTACGAAGTTTGGAGAAGGACACTCCATGGCCCCTCCGCGCCCCCCGGCGCACCGCCCCCCCAGGCGCCCGCCCGCGCGCGGTGGCGGAATCGCGCGGAGGCGCAAGTGGATCCGCCGCAAGCAAAGAGTTCATATCGAGAAACATCAGGCGGGCCACCTGCGGCCAGGCCATCCAGAATTCGCGCGGCGGCACGTCGATCTGCTGGCCGATCGAGCTATCCATGATAGAGAGCGAGCCGCCCCCGCGAATTATCACCGCGAAGAAGTGGCCTGTGTCTGCTGAATGCGGTTGCCAGCAGAGAAACTTGCGGTCCTCCAGAGCTGCCGCATTTGATTACACCTGATTACTTACCAGACTACTTTCACCCGACCCGAGATCCCAAATCTCATTGTGTGGGGCTCGGGTTTTTTTTTTTTTTGGATTGGTAAATAGTGAAAACCTGCATGTCCTCAATCCCCACGGGCCGAAGATCGTGCGCCCGCGATTCGCGCTGGCGACTGCGCGTCTGCAGCGCGTTGAACTCGCGAACAGCACGTGGGCCCTCCGAGGGGCAGTGGTCGGCGAGTCCCATCCGACGTAGCGGAGCGAATCATGCATGCACTGTTGCGAGCCAGGGTGGCGCCCCAGAGTTCCCCCAAGGTTTCCAAGACGCAACGCAAAACAGAGGTGCCCGAATGCCGGGGTAACCTGCGGATTCGTCACTCTGAATGCATGGCCGAACGTTTCGCGCGCGTCGCCAACCGCCTCCTCCACGATGTCGGGGGGCGCAGGACACTGAAAGTACAGTTCGTCAAACAACAGGGCGGACGGCCCCCAGCCAAGAGTGACGATGCCATCAGTGACCCAGGCTAGCAACTGGTCTTCAGACTTCGATGCGGTATAGAAAAACTTAGTTGCTCGTGGATGCTTCCGGTCACCGAACGTGTTCTGCAAATCTTGGTTGTCCGGCATCTGCAGTGGCAAGTGCGCAGCCTGCGCGTACTGATTTCTCTGCATCGGCCGCGTCCACGTCCAAATCATCCCTCATGAAACCGCGCCACTCAGCATAGTGCTTCATGAACCTCTTGAGCGATGTAAGGAGGGCCTTCAAAGGGAGCGCACGCCGCGGACGCGAGCGCCTCGGCGCGAGTCCAGACAGGTGATCTTCGGGCCCCGCGCACTTGGCGCGGCAACGCAACCAAAACACGATCATCAAATAGAAGTCCCAGGGCGCCAGGAAAGCGAAGCCTCCGAATTCGACAACGCGAATTCGGCGGCAGCGGTTGCCTCGCGTGGACTCGCGCATCGACGCTCCGCGCCCGCCGCGCGCGCTCCCCCGCGACCGTCGCGCCTCGGGGGTCGCGCCCCAGCATTTCCACGAGGAGCGATGGGAAGCAATTACATGCAGCCAGTGTGTATGTAAAGCCGTCCATGGCAGCCGCGCGGGCCTCCTTGGTCAGCTTCTGAAAGGGCGGCCCAATGGCGCACAAGCGACCAGGGAGTCCATGCTTACGATAATACTGAACGCGCAACGTCATGTAGTTACCCTGCTTCTGACCTTCTCGTTCGAGCCGATCAATGTACGCGTCGACGCAATCCGGCCTGCGGTCCCCCTGTTGGGCTGCATATCTGCGCAAGCTGGCTAAGTCTACAACCTCCAGCATGTCCGCGACCTCGACGTCGACGCTCTCGTCTCTCTCAAGGGAAGCCTCTTCGTTCTCCGGTTCAGCGCCGTCGTAGAACAAACGCTGCGCATTGTTTCGGGCATCCCAGACGGATCCCCATTCAGGCCAGCAGCCAGAGCAGGAGTGACCGTACTTGTCCATGGGCGTGGTTGCCACAATTGGCTATCACGCGCGTCATCTTCTTCACGCGCTGGCAGAGGCCAGCAGTACAAAAACACCGGTGAGAGGAGGCGGAGGGCGAGGGGGAGAGAAAGGGGGAAAGCCAGACGGGACAACGGCGTTGTGACATCACCCCGATGGGCCCAACGACCATTCATATACCAAGGCACGGCACAGCGTCGAACAAAATGAAACCGCCACAGAAGTAATATTTTTGTTTTGTAACCCGCCGCAGAAGGAATTTTTCTGATATCAGCCACCGAAAAATTCGGTTGTAATCCTCCGCAGAGAGCCCCGGAGGGCCGAGGGAGGTACCAGCCCCAGAAGAGAAAGGGGGTGAGGGAACTGGGCCGGAACTGCGGGAGACGATTTCAATGGAATTCCTTTGGTGGTGGATTTCAGTAGGATTCCTTTTGTTAAAACGACGCGAGGATCGGGACAAAATCGGATCGGGATAATTCGAAATCTCTGAGAAGCGGCGGGCTTGGAGGATGTATTGGGCGCCGCGGCCGCCCCAGAGTTCTCCGGAACGCTCTGAGAGCGCTCCGGAACGCTCTGGAGCGATTTATCCCGATACCAGCCCTGTTTTATTGGTAAGGGATTGCGCTAGGATTCCTTTTGTAAAGGATTTCAATGGAATTCCTTTTGTCGAGGATTTCAAAAGAATTCCTTTGTGCCTGGCTCAGGCGGAGGCAGGTGGGGGCCTGGCCGACGAAAAAAAAACACAAAAAGGCAAAGCATGCAATTTGGGGGACCAAAAACGTTGTATTTTGAATTGTGAATTTGTTCTTATTTGAAAACCCAAAAAAGGCTACAAAGGCAACCTGGAAGCAACGAGAACCTGTGTTTTACAGTCTTTGCACATTGGCAAATTGATTCTTATTGTGTGGTATTCAAATAAAGTTCTTTTGCGGGGATCTACACATTGATTCCCATTGTGAAAAAGGGGACACTTGCAAATCCTGTTTTTACATACTTACAAGTAAATTCCTTGAACCAGGCTCAGAGGGACTTTATGGGATTACGCACAATAGGAATCAATTCGTACATGCGCTAACACTGTAAAACACAGGTTCTCTTTGCTTCCAGGTTGCTTGTTTTGCTTCTTTGGTTTTCAAGTGAAAACCAACTTGCAATCAAAAACACAGCGTTTGTTGTCCCCCAAGTTGCCTGTTTGTTTTGCCTTTTTTTGCATGTTTCGATGGCCGAGTTCCCCCCCCCTTCCGTAGCCAGGCACAAAGGAATTCGATTTGAAGGCCTCACAAGAAGAATCACTTTGTGGGGGGTTCAAACGGACTCCTTCGGTGGCCAATTACAACAAATATTCCTGTTGTGGAAGATTACAAAAACCTCTCCTCGAGCGTTGTTCCAGGGCACGGAGATACAACCCTTACCCCAGCCCCCCCCCCCCCGCGGAAGGCCAGAAGGAAGGCCGAGGCCTTCTAGGAGGACGAGGAGGAGGAAGAAGAGGAGGAGGAGGAGGAGGAGCATTCGCTGTGGATTGATTCGGACGATCGCGCCGCGAGGACGGAACACGGGGCCCAGACGCGGTCCAAGAAGCCCTTCCTCCTCCTGCTCTTCCTCCCCCTCCTCCTGCTGCTCCTCCTCCTCCTCCTCCTCATCCTCTTCCTCACCCCCCACCTCCTCGTATTCCTCCTCCTCCTCCTCCTCCTCCTCCTCGGCGGGGCCTGCGTTGGCGGGACGGCGGCAGCCGCCCCATCCACCGATCGCCGTCTCTGGTCGATGGCCGCGCCCGTGTCGACCGCCCCTCGAGAGGGTTGGGGGCTGTCAGTGCGGCCCCCCACCGCGCCAGGCAGAACACGCGCATCGCTGAGTGGGGTCTTCCAGCTTCTCGTGGCTTCCCCTCCTCCTCCTCCTGCTCCTCCTCCTCCTCCTCCTCCTCCTCCTCCTCCTCCTCCACCGCCTCCTCCTCCTCCGCCTCCTCCCCCTCCTCCTCCTTCCCCCCCTCGCTCGCCGCCGACGTGCTTCCTGCCGAGGAGCTGGCGCGGTCGCAGTTGCCGAGGAGCTGGCACAGGTCTCCGGCACTCCGCTGGCGCGCACCTGCTTCTCGTGCAAGGCCAGCGTCCTGCCCTGGTTGCCCTAAGGAGGATCAAGTCCGCGTCGGGGACGTCGAGCACCTCGCCGAGGCTCTGCACCGCCTCCATGGCCACCTGCGCTCCGCTGGTGCTGACCTGCTCCGCGATCCACGGATGGCCGCACGAGGCTATCGGTCTGCTCGCAGCCGCGCCTGCTGGTCGCCGTGGACTTCGTGAACTACCCGGCGTCGGTGACGTGGACGATCCGCCCCTGCTTCTCCACCGCGGCTGGCCGCGCCCTCTTGGCCATGGCGGCCGCGGAGGCTTCGGCTCTGGCCAGCATCTCACGCTCGAAGATGACGTCGAAATCCGTCGGGAGCACGTCCTGCGCCAGCTGCCCAGCCAGGATCGCCGCGACGGACCGATGGGCGTCTTCTGGACTCCATCAGGACCGTGCAGGGTCCTGAGATCCCTGCCCATCTTTCTCCGGCCTGGCTGCGCCCACCGCCGCGGCACCGCCCGTTGGAAGTGCAGGCATCCCCCAGGGGGGCCCATGCTGCCCGCCTGCACGTCGCCGACGGGCACCTCGATCCACTCCACGTCGCCGAAATGCACCCGCTGCTCCTGCGCCGAGGAGGAGGAGAAGGAGGAGGAGGAGGAGGAGGAGGAGGAGGAGGAGGAGGAGGAGGCGGAGGAGGCGGAGGAGGAGAGGAGGGAGGAGGCGGAGGAGACGGAGGAGGAGGAGGAGGAGGAGGAGGAGGAGGAGGAGGAGGAGGAGGAGGAGGAGGAGGAGGAGGAGGAGGAGGAGGAGGAGGAGGAGGAGGCGGAGGAGGAGGAGGGAGGGCACCTCGGCACCGCCGCGCCATGGGGGCCCGCGCGCGCCCCCCCGCCGCGGAGGCGGAGCCTGGACCGCTCCGGCTGCTGCTGGGGGGCGCCCCGGACGCCACCCGGGGTCAGCTCTTCGGCAGGGCCTGGAGGCAGCCGACGGCGGCGGCCGCGGAGGACGCCGGCGCCCCGCGCCGCCCTCCGCCCCGCCCGGGCCCCGCCAGGGTGCGCGCGGAGGGGCGGGAGGGGCGGGGGAGTGGGGGGAGGGGTGGGAGGCTTGGTGGTGATGGTGATCTGGTGGCGGTGATGGGCGTGACGGTCATGGCTGTGATACTGCGATCGAGGTGGTGAGGACGGTGTTGATGGTGATGGTGATGGTGGTGGTGGTGGTGGTGCGTGTGATGGCCATGATTACGATGATGGTGATGCTGATGATGATGATGCTGATGATGATGGTGATGGTGATGCTGACGATGGTGATGATGATGGTGATGAGGAGGAGGAGGATTCTGATAATGATACTTCGGATGCTTCTGCTGATAATAATGATGATGATGATGGTGATGTTTGTGATGATGGTGACGACGACCACGAATATTATGATGATGGACGTGTTGATGCTGATCAGCGATGATGATTCGGATGCTGAATATGATGGGCGATTGTTATGATGATGATACTTGTGCTGATGATCGTGATGCCAATACCGATCATGCGACGGTGGTGATGATGTTGTTGTCGAAGATGATGGTTTGTGGCCGCAGTGGTGTGTATACACATGACCGCATGATTCAGTTGGCTCTTGCGGGGAGCCGCAGCCGCGTGTTGCCGACGCAACGGCTGCCCGATGGTCCGACACACCCTGCTGTTTCTGCTCCGCGCCGCGCGTGTGTGACAGCCACTGGTGACTGGAGAGCGACTCCAGCCAGGCAGTACGAGCCCGAGGAACCAAGGAAATGATGACCCTGTATACGCCATCACTTAGGAAAGGAGGGACACGCCGATGAAGCACGCCTATGTGAAACACGCCTCTGTGATGAAGCACGCCTCCCTGAAGCATAGCTACCCTCGAAGCGCGCCTCCGTGAAGCATTCCTTCTCGATGACGCACACCTCCGTGGAACACACCTCGGTGAAGCTCGCTGCCATGATGTACGCCTCCTTGAAGGACGCCTCCGTGAAGGACGCCTCCGTGAAGCACACCTCGATGAAGCACGCCTCCCTGAGGAAGTTCGCCTCCGTGATGAAGCGCGCCTCCATGTTGAAGCTCGCTTCTGCAAAGCACACCCGATGATGAAGCACGCCTGCGCCACGCACGCCTGGACAATGGAGTACACCTCCGCGAAGCATGGCTCCGTGAAACACGCCCCCGCGATGAAGCACGCCTCCGTGATAAAGAAGAAAGTCTCCGTGATACACACCATCATGAAGCGTGACTGCAGCATGAAGCACGCCTTAGCATGACTTGCGCCTCAGTGGAGCACGCTTCCCCGATGAAGCACGCCTCCGTGCTGAAGCATGCCTTCCTGAGGTAAGCGCCAATGTGGGCCCTCTTCGCCGCCGAAAACGTGGTCACCGCTGCCTCCTGCCGCAAATACGGCCGCTGTTGCTGCCGCGGTTGCCGCTGCCGAAATAGGGCACCAACGTCGACTCCACATCCTGGAACGCGAAGTCGGCTCCATCACGGCAGCGCGGGCATGTGGAGCCATATCATGACCTTCAGACGCCATCACCCAGGAAAGGAAGGACACGCCGATGAAAGCCGCTTCCGTGAAGTACAGCTCCGTGATGAAGCATCCATCCGTGAAGCGGGTCTCCCTGATGAGCTGCGCCTCGTGATGTAGCGTGCTTCCGTGACGCACAACTACCCGCGAAGCACGCCTCCGTGAAGCACGCCTCGCCCATGATGCACCTTTTCTTTGACGCACTCCTCGGCGACGTACGTTTCCACGGAGCACGCTTCCTTTAGGCGCGCCTCCGAGAAGAACGCCTCAGTGAAACACGTTTCGATTAAGCACGCCGTCCTGAGGAAGGTGGCCTCCCTGACGCAGCCCGCCTCGCGGACGTGGAAGAGAAGGAATGGCACCAGATGGATAGGCCGAGCCCGTGGACTGTCCAGCGACGGGCCGCCAGCGCACGAAGGACACCCAGAGTACATGTAAATGTAGAGGGACGTGAACGCCTGCACCGCCGTTTCCCAAAGGCCGGATCTGGTGCAGCAGGACGATGATTTGTGGCCGCAGTGGTGCGAGTACACATGATCACCCGATGCCGTGGGATCTGGCGGGGGGGCGCAACCGCGCGTTGTACCCCGCCGCGCGGGTGTGACGGCCACCCGTGATTGGAGAGCGACTCCAGCCAGGCAGTACGGGGCCGAGGACCATGGAGATGTTGGCGATGGTGGTGGTGATGGTGATGCTCGTGATGACGGCGGAACACGACGGATGGTGATGGCGATGGTGACGGACGATGGTGGTGATGCGGATGATTCTGATGGTGCTGACGACGACAGCTCATTATGGCGGGCTTGGCAAAAAGGAATGAGGATCATGACTGTGAGGGAGGTGATCCTGGCTCGGCTGATGATGATGGTAATTATGAGGATTGTGATTATGATGGTGATCCCCGTGATCGTGATGATAATGGTGATGGCGATGGTGATGGTGATGGCGACGGTGATGATGATTGCGATGGTGATGGTGATGACGATGATGACGCGTCGGGCATCCAACGCCCAATTTTTCTGACATTTTTCGCCGCCGTTCGTTTTGCCTCAAGGTTGTGGTGGTTCTGGGGGTGGGCCGAATTCGCCTTCGCTTACATCGTGTCCAGCTCCACCGCCATGCTCGACAACAGCTGGCCAGCACCAGCCGGTGAGAGACGAAGTCCTCGATTGCGGACTGGCCACCAGGTTCGACGATTGCGCGCTCCTGATTGAGGTAGGCGCCGCCGCACTGGCAGCAGCTTCATTGTACATGTCGATTGTACTCCCAGTGGCCGCAGACGCTGTGAGGCGTGCGCGCATGGCCACGCCGATGGCGAGCATCAGCACGACCACGTAGAGCCTCAGCACGCATTTGGCCGCCCCACACATCCCCAGGCTTCGTTAGCCAAGGCGAGTTTGAATTGCATGTCGTCGATTAGAAATTCTGTTCCAGCAGGAGCTCATACACGCATGTTGCCACGGGCCAGCGCACCGCCTAGCCGAGGCTGTTACAACAGGCGAAATCAAACCACGGATCCATGTTGTCCACTTGGTCCCAAGTCTTGAGCCAACATGGCGACGGGGTGGGAAGAGGAGGACAGAGGAGGAGGAGGAGGAGGACGAGGAGGAGGACGAGGAGGACGAGGAGGAGGAAATGGGAGGGAAGGGGAGGAAGGACAGCGGAACAGGAGGATGCCATAATGGAGCAGAGGATAGCAGGAAAGAGCCGCGGGGAGGGGAGGCGTTTTTTCCTGTTTCTGCTCTGCTGCGGCCCGATGGTCACATAATCTGTCACATCGCCTGGCGGAGGCACAGCCGTGGAGGCCCACACCTCTGGGAAACTGTGCCCTGGTAGGTCCGACTGGAAGAGAGGTCGTTGAAGCACAGCACCCGGCAACGGTCAGCGCGCGACTATATTTGCACTCTCGTTGGGCCCCCCTCAGGACGCGCCGACGCTTGTGCTCAGCAGCCTCATTCGGTTGCCAGTCCGACTTCCGAGAGCAGGGAGCAGGGTTCCGAGGCCAGACGTTTGAGCTCTTCTTGCGGAGCGGGGGTTGCCTCGCTTGCGACAGCTCTTCGCTGGACCGAGAGCTCACACCATAATGTCGTGCGTGGTCGCATGCTCTAGGCCTCCTAGATGGGGTCGGAGTAGATGGCGTCGGAGGATCGCGCCGCATCGCTGATGCATCGCCGATGTGGCTCGACGTGCAGGCCGAGTTGTGTCACGTCAACGTCGCCGTTGCATCGCCAACGTCGGCGATGCATCGCTGGTGCATCGCCGATGCATCGCCGATGCATCGACGATGTATCGCAGATGTATCGGCGAGGCAGCGCGATCCTCCGACCCCATCTACTCCGACCCCAGCTAGGAGGCCTCCACATGCATGCGCAGCCACCCGCGCAAGACTGGGAGGGCGGCAGCAAGAAGGCGGGCCTCGCAAGACAAGAGTTCGCAGCGCAATCGAATGAGGCGGGCATCGTGTACAGACACGGCCGAGCTGGAGCGGAAGCAGGAGCAGCAGGGGCGGGCGGAGCAGGCAGAGCGGCAAGGGCCCGCGCTGCATGCAGGAGGGGCGCGGAGCTGGCGATGCTGGGCGGGGCACGCGCGCGGCGAGCCCGCCGCGCCTTCCGCTTCCGGTCGGCGGCCGCCGCCGACGGCGGCGACGACGATGACCCCACCACGACCACCTCGACGACGAACGACGACGAACCACGACGGCGACCACCACGAAGATGAACGACGACGAGGGAGGACGAGGAAGAGGAGGAATCCGCACACGCTTGGGTTTCTGGCACACCTGGTTTGAAGGAGAACCGCGATACGATCGAGTGCTACAGCATGACGTACGAGGCGGGTGGCCCATCAGGTGGCATCGTGAACCAAGCGCCATAGGTGTCTAGACGCACGGCCGTGCTACTCCTCCTCTTCGCTTTGCCGCCATCCCCACTTGCCCTCCCTCTCCGCGACCCCTGCCAGCGATCTCTCCGGTTTGGGTTGATTCGTCTGCGGACTTTTTGCGCGCGCGTGCTTGGCACTTGGCCGCGAGCCGCCGACCCCGAAGAAAAATTAGGAACATTCCCAGTGTCATCATCATCATCATCATCAGCATCATCATCAGCATCATCATCAGCATCGTCATCATCATCGTTATCATCATCACCAGCATCACCATCACCATCACCATCACCATGATCGCCGTCATCGCCCCCACCGTCGTCGTCCTCATCGTCGATGTCGTTGCCCTCGTCTAATTTCTGCGCGCGCGCACTTCCTCATCATCTTCATCAGCACCGTCGTCGTCGTCGTCGTCGTCGTCGTCGTCGTCATCATCGCCAGCGTCATCCTTGTCACCGTCCTTGTCATGACTATCAGCTGCATCACCATCGTTGTCGTCGACATCGTCCCCAGCGTCGCCGTGAACATCTTCATCGTCATTGTCGTTGTCGTTGCCCAGTCGAGTTGTGCCAACAAGTTGCAGGTGATCACGCTCGGATGCGGTCACACTCGGATGCGCCACGTAGAAATGCACCGCACATATTGCACCACATGGCTAGCACCGCATAGCTTGCGCCACAAAGGTTGCACCACAGAGGTTCGTCTGGTTGAGCAGGTGTTAGGGTCTGCCAACCTTCCCGTGGCCAGGCTTCACCCCCGCTCGTGCGTGCTTTCGCCAGACCTCCTGCGTAGGGATCTCGCTTCGAATAGAGCACGGCGGTCGCACATCTCCCTCGGCTCCTTGACCTCTCCCCCCTCCTCCGCCTTCCTCCTGCGCCCCTCGTTCAGGAGGGGAAACAACACACAGACACCATTAATCGGCGATTCCCAGAACATATGGGAACATATGGGAAGTGGGGGGGAAGACAGAAACCCAGAAAATACCGGAAACTATTGGGAATCTTTTTATTTGTGTGTATTTATTTGTGTGTCCTGGGGCCCCTTCACTCGTGCCTGCCTGCTACCCTGCCTTCTGCCATGCCTCCCACTTGCCCCTACCCTGCCCGCAGAGCTGTCGCCAGGTTCGAGAGCCGCTTGCGGGCCCATCCAGCGGAGCGACGTCATGCGCGGACCTAGGCTCGACCTCGTCAGTCATGGTGGCTGCGATCGGCGAGACTGTCGCCATTGGCGAGGGCTGCTGGGGGGGGGGGTCCAGCAGAGTGACGGCCTACGCGAACCCAAGGCAGACTTCGCCATCCCTGAGGGGTTGCTATCGGCGACGTTGTCGCCACTTTCGAAGGCTGCTGGGGGGTCAGCGGAGTGACGTCATACGCGGACCTAGTTGTTACCTCGTCCTCCCTGGGGGGCTGCGATCTTCGACACCGTCGCCACTTTCGAGGTCTGCTGGGAGGGGGTCCAGCGGAGAGACGTTATGCACGGACCTAGGCTAGATGTCGCCATCCCTTGGGGGTTGCGATCTGCGACGCTGGCACTACTTTCGAAGACTGCTGGGGGGTCCAGCGGAGGGACGTCATACGTTGGCCTAAATTAGACCTCACCATCCATGGGGGGTTGCGTTCTGCGAAGCAGTCGCCGCTTTCGAAGGCCATGAAGGAGTCCAGCGGAGTGACGTCATACGCGACCTACATTCGACCTCGCCATCCAGGGGGGGGGTCTGCGATTTGCCAAGCAGTCACCACCTTCGAGGGCTGCTGGGGGGGTCAGCGGAGTGACGTCATATGCAGACCTACATTCGACCTCGCCATCCCTGAGGGCTGCGATCTGCGACGCTGCCGCCACTTTCGAGGGCTGCTGGGGCGTCAGCGGAGTGACGTCAGGCGCGGGCCGAACTTAGACCTGGTCATCCATGGGGGGCGACGGTCTGCGACATTGTCGCCCCTTTCGAGGGCTGCTGGGGGGTCAGCGGAGTGGCGTCATACGCTGACCTAGACTAGACCTCGCCATCCCTGAAGGGCTGCTATCTGCGTCATTGTCACCACTTTCGATGGCTGCCGGGGGGCCAGCAGAGTGACGCCATACGCAAGCCGAAGGTAGACCTCGCCATCCCTGGGGGGCTGCCATCTGCGACACTGTCACCACTTTCGATGGCTGCTGGGGGGCCAGCAGAGTGACGCCATACGCGGGCCGAAGGTAGACCTCGCCATCCAGGGGGCTGCGATCTGCGAAGCAGTCACCACTTTCGAAGGTTGTTTGGGGGCCAATCGGAGTGACGGCATACGCTGGCCTCAATTCGACATGGCCATCCTTGGGGGTATTGCGATCTGCGACGCTGCCGTGACTTCCGAGGGCTATTGGGGGGACCATCGGAGTGACGTCACACGCACACCGAGATTAGACCTGGCCAGCCCTGGGGGTCTGCGATCTGCGAAGCAGTCGCCACTTTCGAGGGCTGCTAGGAGGGCCAGCGGAGTGACGTCACACGCGGGCTTGCATTGGACCTCGCCATCCATGGGAAGGGGGGGGTGCGAAGTGCGACACGGCCGCCACTTTCGAGGGCTGCTGCGGGGGTCCAGCGGAGTGACATCCCACACAGACCTACAATAGACCTCGCCATCCATAGGGGCGAGGGGTTGCGATCTGCGACGCTGCCGCCACTTTCAAGGGCTGCTGGGGGGTCCTGCGGGGTGGCACCAAACGCAGACCATAATATTCGACCTCGCCATCCCTGGGGGCACCCCCTGCGCACCCCCTATGGTGTCGAGAAAGTGCCACGCCTGCTCTGCCCTGGACGACCGTCGTGCATAGCGGCCGCGGTGAGGGACCGCCCCCTGCGTACCCCCTATGGTGTCGAGAAATTGCAACACCTGCTATGCCCTGGACAACCGTCGTGCATAGCGGCCGCGGTGAGGGACCACCCCCTGCGCACCCCCTATGGTGTCGAGGAAAATCTACGCCTGCTGTGCCCCGGACTGCCGTCGTGCACAGCGGCCGCGGTGAGGGACCACCCCCTGCGCACCCCCTATAGTATCGAGAAGATGCCACGCCTGCACTGCCCTGGACGACCGTCGTGCACAGCGGCCGCGGTGAGGGACCACCCCCTGCGCACCCCCTATGGTGTCGAGAAAGTGCCACGCCTGCTCTGCCCTGGACGACCGTCGTGCATAGCGGCCGCGGTGAGGGACCACCCCCTGCGCACCCCCTATGGTGTCGAGAAAAGCTTCGCCTGCTATGCCCCGGACGACCGTCGTGCATAGCGGCCGCGGTGAGGGACAACACCCTGCGCACCCCCTATGGTGTCGAGAAAATGCCACGCTTGCTGTGCCCTGGACGACCGTCGTGCATAGCGGCCGCGGTGAGGGACCGCCCCGTGCGCACCCCTTATGGTGTCGAGAAAATGCCGCGCCTGCTATGCCCTGGACGACCGTCGTGCATAGCGGCCGCGGTGAGGGACCACCCCCTGCGCACCCCCTATGGTGTCGAGAAAAAGCTACGCCTGCTATGCCCCGGACGACCGTCGTGCATAGCGGCCGCGGTGAGGGACCACCCCCTGCGCCCCCCTATGGTGTCGAGAAGGTGCCACGCCTGCTCTGCCCCGGACGACCGTCGTGCATAGCGGCCGCGGTGAGGGACCACCCCCTGCGCACCCCCTATGGTGCCGAGAAAATGCCATGCCTGCTATGCCCTGGACGACCGTCGTGCATAGCGGCCGCGGTGAGGGACCAGCTCCTGCGCCCCCCCTATGGTGCCGAGAAAATGCAACGCCTGCTGTGCCCTGGACGACCGTCGTGCATAGCGGCCGCGGTGAGGGACCGCCCCGTGCGCACCCCTTATGGTGTCGAGAAAATTCCACGCCTGCTCTGCCCTGGACGACCGTCGTGCATAGCGGCCGCGGTGAGGGACCACCCCCTGCGCACCCCCTATAGTGTCGAGAATGCGATACGGTCACGCCTGCCGTGCCTTGCGCGCTAGTCCTGCGTGCTGAGCTGTGCTGTCCTGTGCTGTGCCGAGCTGAGCTGTGCTGTGCCGTGCTGAGCTGAGCTGAGCTGTGCTGTGCTGAGCTGAGCCGAGCTGTGCTGAGCTATGCTGAGCAGTGCCGTGCTGTGCTGTGCTGTGCTGTGCTGTGTGAGAAGGGGAAGAGGGAGGTGAGTGAGTGAGCGCGGCTGCGACGAGGCATGGAAGAAAACCAGAACCCCACTAAGCATGTGGGGAACAAGAACGACAATTGTTGAAGGCGTTCTCGTCCGCCCCGACTGCCGAGCACAGCACAACCCCCCCCCAGCCCCGGCCAGGACCCCCAGCCAGACCAGTCCGAGGACCCCCGGCCCGAGCCCAGGACCCCCACCAGCCAGACCCCCAGGACCCCCGGCCCGAGCCCAGCCAGGACCCCCAGCCAGATCCAGGAAGTCCTGGCTGGGGTGTGAGGGGTGCTCCTGGCGCCCGAGAACCTTCTAAGACCACCCCCGCCCCCAGCCAGGACCCCCTGGGCCCTGAGATCCTGGGCATGTTCGCTCAATTTCAGACCCCAGGACCCTCACAGATCGATCCGGCTCGAAAAATGAAGCGGAAAGAAGTGTACGGGGCATTGGTCGCGATTTCTTGCCATGCTGCAGTTTTTTTTGTTCAACGTCGGATCTCAGGGGATCACCAGGTTGTGATCAGGCATTCGCAAACATGGATCAAGGGGGCGTGGATTAGCGACGGGTCCCGCTTCCATGGGAAATCGCGGATTTCTGCCGCCGAGCGAGGCGGTACAGGCCGCGTTTTGGGGAGGGCACCTCCCCCGATCATGGATCTGGCGACCGCGCGCCAAATCCGTGGATCGCCAATCCATGTTTTGCGCGCCCTCGACGGGGGTGGGAGTCCTGGCGGGGGGTGCAGGGGGGGCTGTGCCGCCATCTCGGCTGTTCCCGGCCGAGGGGGCCGAACGAAAGGGGGGGATGGGGAAAGGGAGGGTCACGAAGTCTGCTGCGTGCAGCTGCTTTCGGCCCCGCCGCCAGGCGCATTCCTCGATACATGGGTGCCTCCCGGCGCCGGGAGGCGCCAGGAAATTCAGCTACAGTCGGGGCCCTGAAGAAGGAACCCTTTTCGTTGGGGAGGGGCTCGGTGTTCCTTGATTGTTCTGCAGTTTGCCTTCTGCTTTCCGGAGGTCTTCCATGGGAAACCGAAGCTCAACTTACGGGAGGAAGGGGCCCCGTTCCTTATTTCGGGTTCCTTGGGTCAACGCCCCGACTGTACGAGGGCTGATTCTCAAACCCCCTCGTTGCGATCCCCCCCCTGCCGCCCGGCCCGCCCGGGGGGGGCCCGCCTCCGCCGCGCCCTCCCCGCCGCTCCCCACCGGCAGGTCTGCCTCCTGCTGGCGGACGGGTGCTTCCAGCCCCTGGCGGCCAGGCGGGGTGTGCGTCGCTGCTCGGGGGGTGCTTGGGTACACCGCACTCACATCTATACCCCTGGGTGGGTGTATGTGCGGCCGTTTTTGCGCTGTCATGTGCGCGCATGTGCGCGGCACATGCCAGTCATGTGCCAGGCCTGTGCGGCCCCTTTCTGGACCACAATTTCAAGTGAGCACTATAGAAGTGAGCGCTATAGAAGTGAGTCCGGTGTTTCGGGCCGAACGAACCGGGGGGGATACAGCCGGGGCGCCGAACCAGGAACCCTTGGTGTTGGGGAGGGGCTCCGTGTTCCTTAATCGTTGCGCAGCTCGCCTCAGGTTTTGTCCTCGGGTGTTCGCTGGGGAATCGAGGTTTCACTTGTGGAAGAAGGGGGCCTCGTTCCTTATCTAGGGTTCCTTAGGTCAACGCCCCGACGGCAGGGAAAGGGGGGGGTACGAAATCTGCTGCGTGCAGCTGGTTTCGGCCCCGCCGCCGGGCCCATTCCTCGATCCATGGGCGCCTCCTGGCGCCGGGAGGCGCTGGGAAAGTCAGCTACGTGAGCTGATTCTCTACCCTACCCTTTGCTATCCCCCCCTTTCGTTCCCCCCGATCGGGGCCTTAGGGCGGGGGCTCAGGCCTCTGGGACGTCGCGGGGCAAAAATGATGATGCGGTAGTTTTCGTGAGAACTTCGCCCTCTAGGGGGCGTTTCCAAGCCCCACGGAGGCACAAGAGAAGAGCCGCGACGAAGAGCTGCTCCCCTGGACGGGGTCGAGAGGTCTTGGGGCCCACGCAGTACAGGAGTCTTGACGGTAATTAGTGGTGTCGTGAGTAGGCGTTTGCAGCCGCTCGCGTCGATGAAGACATTGAGCACGTCACAGGTTTTCCACGAGCGTGCCCTAGTGGGGCTGCGGCCACGGGTCCAGGCGAGAGATGTTTCGAGCCGGATCGAACCGCGAGCGCCCCAGGGCAACCGAAACGGGAGGCCCGTCTCATCGTGAGGTTTCCACGCTGCCTTGTTGTCAGTGTTAGTTTGTATGTGAGGCTGTTACTTGTGGGAGGGCCACGGAGCTCTTGAGTCAGCTGTGGATGGTCTGACGACGACGACGACGGCGACGGCGAAGGCGAAGGCGACGGCGACGAAAGCGACGAAAGCGACGAAAGCGACGAAAGCGACGAAAGCTACGAAAGCGACGAAAGCGACGAAAGCGACGAACGCGACGAACGCGACGGCGAAGGCGACGGCGATGGCTGCGGCGACTGCGACGGCGACGGCGACGGCGACGGCGACGGCGACGGCGACGGCGACGGCGACGGCGACGACGACGACGACGACGCGACGGCGGCGGCGACGACGACGACGACGGCGACGACGACGACGGCGACGACGACGACGACGAGAAGGCGAGGACGCGAAATGCACATAATTAGCCTGACGACTAACCCAACAATATACAGTTGTAGGTGCCGTCGTTGTATACACCTCATTCGGTGGAGCTCCCTATGTGGCCACCAAGCGTGTGAGGGGTATGCCAACATGGGCGCGGTGGGCGCATGGGAGCGCAGCCACTGGGGCCTTCGGCTCCGAATGTGGCCACGAACCGTGTGAGGGCTGTGCCCACATGGGCGCGGGACGCATGCGGACACAGCCACTGGGGCCTTTGTGAGGGGTTTGCCGAAATGGGCACGGGACGCATGTGAACGCAGCAACTGGGGCCTTCGGCGGAGCTGCCTATGGGGCCACGAAGCGCATGAGGGGTGTGCCGAAATGTGCGGGGTACGCATGTGGACGCAGCCATTGGGACCTTCGGTGGAGCTCCCTTATGGGGCGCCGAAACATGTGAGGGGTGTGCCGAACATGGGCGGGGGATGCATGTGGACGCAGCCACTGGGGCCTTCGGTGGAGCTCTCTGGGGCCACGAAGCGTGTGAGGGCTGTGTTGAAATGGGCGCGTGACGCGTGTGGACGCAGCCACTGGGGCTTTCGGTGGAGCTGCCTATGGGGACACGAAGCGTTTGAGGGGTGTGCCGACATGGGCCCCAGACGCCTGTGGGCGCAGCCGTTGGGGCCTTCGGCGGAGCTCCCTATGGGGCCGCGAAGCGTGTGAGGGCTACCCCGGGGCGTGAAGCACCTAGCCTGGGCGGACACATCCTGGCTCTCTTTCTGACCAGCGCGAGCCGCCTCACACGTTCGCCCGACCAGGATAATTTCCTTACGCCTGCACCACCATCTGCGATCACAGCGTCTACACCAGCATGGGCAACAGCACGGGCACCATCACCGACACCGCCACCGATGCTCGCATCGACTCCAGCATATCGACTTCGGCCGACAAGCGGCGACTGCGGCGTCCCCACCAGCACCGACCATAGCGCCGACGGCAGCGCTCACACCAACAACGACGCCAGCAACAACTTCGTGCGACGAACACCTTTCTGTGCAGCGGCTCGGGCATCATCCGCATGTCACACGTGCCGTTTCCGACTCCAGCTCTGTCTCCTTTTCAACCCATGCTTTTGGCTTTGATTCCATAGCCGATCGTTTTGGAGCCCTTCCTCCATTTCCCTGGCTCCAGTTCCGACTCCAGCTCCGACGTCGTTCGGCGATCACCTTTTCTCTTTGCAGCAAATGGGGCGCTGCATGACGCCAGCCCCAATTCCCACTCCAGCGCCAACTCCTCTTCCAACGCCTTCTCCGGCACTTTCGATACGAGCCCGCCACGATATCCCCCAGGGGGGGGGAACAACGTGTTCACCTTTTGTCTTGGCCGCGTGGCCGATATTCGAGACGGATTCGAACAACACAACGCCACCCAGCACTATGAATATGGGAGCTAGTGTTTACCAATAGCAGGAACAGCCCGATGGATATAGGGGGAATCCTTCAGGGGGAAGCATGACGGGCACCAGCGGCATAGCACAATGACGGGCACCAGCAGCACAACCCTAGCATCCACCAGTGAGGAGCATGAGCAGCACGGCGGATACTATGAGCGGGTAGCATGAATTGCGCGACGGGAACCATTAGCAGCACGGTGGGTGCCACGAGCATCACGAAGGGACAGGAACCATGAGCAGCAGCAAGACGGGTACCATGAGCAGCTCGACGGATACCATAACCAGAATTGCGGGCACCACGAGCAGCACGATGGGCATCATGAGCAACACGATGGTCCCTGAGCAACACGACGGGCACCAAGAGCAACACGGCGGATACCATGAGCAGCTTGTCGGGTACCAGCCGTGCGGCGTTCAGCAGCACAATAGGTCCTAGGAACAACACGACGGACAAGACGGGTATGGCACCGCGAGCAGCACGGCGGCTATCATTAGCAGCAGGGCGGGTACCAAACCCCGTATGACGGATATCATGCGCTGCCCGACGAATACCACGAGCCATTCGACGGATATTTTAAGCAGCGCGACGCATTCCATGGGCAGCACGCTGGGTCTTACTACCAACACGACGGGAACCGGGAGCAGGAGTATAATTGATTCCGTGGACAGGTCGACGGAAGCCCGGAGCAACACGACGGGGATTATGTGCATGAGCAGCACGGCGCGGAACATGAACAGTACGACGGGTACCATGACCAGCACGGGGGTACTACGACGAGCATGACAGATCCCATATGTTGCACGACGAGTACTGGGATCGTCACGACGAGTACGATGAGCAACACGACGGGTACCATGAGCAGCATGACGGCTGCCATTCCACGCGCAGCATTGCGGGGGCACCATGAGCACATCTTCCGGTTTCCGGCGGGCCTCGCAATGGAGTTTCTCCGTCTCCTCTGCTTTGGTGCGCTTGAAACGACGGCCCGATCGCACAAGGCCTTTCGACCCAGGGGGCCGCGCTTTGCCGGCCCTGGCTCGCGCGACCGCTGCACCTCGGCGCTGGGCGTGTCTGTTTTTGTGGCCTGATCTTGGGAGCCGCTTGTTAGACTTGTATGTTTTCTGCAGCGTGTTGTTGTCCGTCCCTCGCTCTGTCTCCCTCTTGTCGCCTCTCTTTTTTGTTTCCCTCTCGGTCCATGTCCTCTTCTCCTCGCCCTGCGCGGGGCAGTTCTGCGGGTAACCTCAGCGAGGTCTGGGGAGCGCTCGCGGGCGCGAGCTGCTTGCCCCAGTTTTGTGTGTTCGCCTCTCCGCTCCACTTCCCCCCTGTGCAGAACCTATCGCCCCTCTTTCCCTCTTCGCCCCTCTTCCCCTCTTCGCCCCTCTTCGCCCCTCTTCCCGCCCTCCGCCCCTCTTCCCCCCCTGCCCCTGCTGGCTGCTCCGCTCTAGTGTGCAGAACCTATGGCCTTGGCGTCTTCACGGGCCACAGGCACCCGTGCCAGCCGAGACTGCCTCCGAGCGTGCCAGAAATTAGCCTGGCGAAGGACCCAACCAGTTACAGCTGTGCGAGCCGCAGTTGCAAGTACCGTATTCAATGGAGCTCCCTGTGGGGCCGCGAGACGTGTGAGGGGTGTGCCGAAATGGTTGAGGCGGGCGCACGCGGGCGGTGGTTGGGGCATTCGGTGGAGCTCCCTATGGGGCCACGATGCGTGTGAATGGTGTGCCGGAATTGGCGTGGCAGACGCATGCGGTCGACGCCATTGGGACCTTCGGCGGAGCTCCCAATGGGGCCACGGACCGTGTGAGGGGTGTGCCGAAATGGGTGTGCGTGACGCATGCGGGGTGCGCCATTGGGACCTTCGGCGGAGCACCCTATCTGGACACGAAACGTGTGAGGGGTGTGCCGAAGTGGGTGTGCGTGACGCATGCGGGCTGCGCCACTGGGGCCTTCGGTGGAGCTCCTTGCGGGGCCACGATCATCGTGAAGGGTGCACCGACGATGATGATGATGGGGAGGAGGAGGAGGATGATGATCCTGACGGTAATGATGATGGCGGCGAGCACGACGATGATGACGGCACTAGTGGTGATGATGACGATGACGATGACGATGACGATGACGATGACGATGACGATGACGATGACGATGACGATGACGATGACGATGACGATGATGATGATGATGATGATGATGATGATGGTGGTGATGATGATGATGATGATGATGATGATGATGATGATGATGATCTGATGATCTGATGATCTGATGATGATGATCTGATGATCTGATGATGATGATGATGATGATGCTGATGATACTTAGGATATCGATGATGACGATGATGAGGATGCTGATGCTGATGCTGCTGCTGCTGCTGATGCTGATGAGGATGATGATGAGAAGAGGAGGGAGGGGGCAGCGGGATGAGGAAGGAGACGCGGGGTGATGTCCTTTCAAAACGAGGACCCAACACCGCAGGATGATTGGGGAAACAATGTTGATAATTGATGTTTGCCTCTAGGGGCCCTCTTGGAGCTCTTCTTGGAGCTCCCTTTGGGCATCTTGAGGGTTTCTGAGGCCTTCTTCATGGCATCTTGGGCCATCTTGAAGCGATATTTGGCTGGTTCAGGGTTCTCTTGGAGCAAGCCGCGTTGCAAGTGAGCTCGAGGCGTCTGGGAGGCAAGAACTCGAAGGAGAACGCTCCTCCCAGGGAGAGGTGCCCCCTCCCTGGCCCTCTCTGGCGGGCTCTTGCTCGTACCTGAGCGTCGCGCTGTTTCCGTCCCTCGGCCGGCCAGGCTACGTGTCGCCGCCCTCCTGCTTTTCAACGCCCCTTCCCATCCTCTGGCGTTTCGCTGTGCATGACGTCGCGTGTGACGTTCCCGGCTTGTGTGGCGATGTGCCGCCTGACGTCTTGGTGACATTGTTGCAGAAGAGGAAACATGTCCAGTCGACCATGCTGCTTCCGACAACCAACTGCCCACACATCCAGCATGTTGGAAAGGTCACGACAGCTCATTGCTTGTCTGGGTCTCTGAGGGGCCCTCGCCGCGCCCTGGTTCCGCCAGGTGAAGACAAGCCGAAAGGCCTAAGGAGCATCAGCGCCTTTTCGAACCAAGACCGGGCCTCAGCCCAAAGCTTTGGTTGCACGTCATTAAAGCAACGATGGTACGCAAAGCCTAGGCCGTTCTCGTCCGTTGTGAGTCTTTGTATTCTGCTCGTCTGATGCATGCAAACCATGCCGTAACAGAGTCGGCGCTGCGGTTGTGAATCCCGCCGGCCAGGTGGCTGGAGCTGCAGTTCGACACGTCGGGCGCGTTCGAATGCTGGAGGGAGATGGTCTCAGAAGACCCAGATCTTCTGACATCGCGTGCCTTGACATCGCGGCGTCGTCTGGCCTCTGAGTTTCTCCAGCGTTCTGACACGTTCTGTTCGCCACGACTGGGCGCGGCTTGGGAAAAACACGCCTAGATGGCGTCCGGGAGCGGACCGAGGACAGGTTTTGCATGGGTTTGGAGGCGGACTGCTACAGTCGGGGCCATGAAGAAGGAACCCTTTTGGTTGGGGAGGGGCTCCGCGCTCCTCAAGTGTGTCACAGCTTTCCTCAGGTTTTCCTTATGTTTTCGGTAGGAGATCGAAGCTTATCTTATGGAAAAAAGGGGCCTCGTTCCTCATTTAGGGTTCCTTAGGTCAACGCCCCGACTGTACACCGAACGTCCTTGCGTTGCCGCCGCGTTTCGCCACCCAGGTCCCGTGGCGGATCGATCTGGCCTGCACAGCTCGGGCACAGGTGCTGGGCCGCGGGAGCGCCGATCGTGCGTGTGGTCGCCCCCAGAGTCGAGGTGCTTTCGCGGCGCCGGGTGCGCCCCTCGACCTCTGCATTCCGCAGGTTCCGCGCCAGGGCTGGACCTGAACGCTGTTCTGCTGGACTTCGGCTGTGCTTTGTTTTTCGTTTTGCCAGGGAGGTCCAGCAGAACGAACACAAAACTTTGGCAGGGAGGTCCAGGAGAACAGGTCGAGCACAACGTTTAGGTCCAGCCTTGTTCCGCGCGGCAGCTGCCGCGCAGCGGCGGCAGGCGCCGCGGCCGCAGCGGCGGCCGCCGCCGAGGCCGCAGCGGCAGCCTCTGCGGAGGCCGCAGCGGCGGCTGCCGCCGAGGCGGCAGCGCGTCAGCGCGGCCGCGCGGCCGCGGCGGGCGCCTGCTGCGCGGTGGGCGTGGCAGGCGGAGGCCAAGGGCCGTGTCCGTTGGTTGGGGCTGGATCGAGTCGCCGGCCGTTTCGGCCAGAGATCGGCGTCGCCCCAACATACTGGCGCTACACGTGCGCCGCCCCCCCCAGGGGAGACGCGCGCACCGAGAGAAATCTTGTAGTACATGCGTCGTGGCGGGCGCTTTCGGGCCACGCCGCTCGGGGAACGATATATACTACAAGATGGGTATAAAAGATGTTCGGCTCGGACGCGCGGCTCCAAGAGGGACTTCTAGTATTAGTTTCTTTTCAAGCCTCGGGCGACGCTGAGTCCTGTTGGGTCAAGCCTGCTTGGAGCCAACGGGCTTCACCTGGTGGGCCTCCGGCTGGACCTGGCCTCTCCCGACGGTCGAACCCGACTTCCGAAAGCGCCTTGACATGACGCGTGGCTCCGACAGAAGGGGGCCGGGTGCTTCTTGAGTTCGAGCTCGCTGCCAAAGGGTCCTCAGACAGAAAGTCCTCTCCGGGGCCCTTGCCCTCCACGCCCTCGCCCTCCACGCCCTCCTCTCCGCCCTCCACGCCCTCGCCCTCCACGCCCTCGCCCTCCTCTTCGGCGCCCTCTTCGAGGCCGCTGGCCGCCGCCTCCCGCCCCTCCGCGGCGGCGGCCTCTCCGCGGCGCCGTGCCCCCGCGGCGCGGGGCTCTCCCAGGCCGCGTCGCCGCGCGGGGGAGCGCGCTCGAGGGCGGCTGGCGGCAGCAGCCCGTCGGCCACCGGGGCGGCCTACACTCTAGACGATGCTTAAGAAAACCCAAGTTTTCGGCCAGAGTCTCGATTATTCTTAATGTTTCAATGTGAATCCTAAGATTTGAATAGACATTCTGGGTTTTTAGTCAATTTCTGAGACTACGAATTTCTTAACCCATGATTTCTTAAGCATTTCGCAGGGTGTAGGGTCGATCCTGCGGGCTCGGCTTCCGCCGCGCTCCTCGGGATCGTGGCCGTCGGGGTCGGGGCCCCTGTGGCATCGCTCGGGCGCGTGCCTTTTTTTTTGTTGCTCGGCGAGGGCGGCCATCGAGGAGCATCTTGGAGCATGCAGCGACCAATACGCGCACGGAATCGAGAAGTCATGTAGCGACAAATGCACGCACGGAATCGAGAAATGCACGGGGAATGGACGTCCGAGCGATGGCGAGGGGCCGGGGTCGGGGCTTTGAACGGGCTCAGTGAAGGGAGGGAAAACCACCCGGACCCGACAGTTGGCGTTTACTGAACGGCCATGGGCGTTTATTGAGCAGCTCTGCCCTGTTCGATTCCTTCGTGGGGTGCGTTTTCTAAACGGCCTCTCGTGTCGGGGTGGTTCTGATCGGGGTGGATTTTCTGCCCTCTGCTCAGGTGGGGGGGGGGCGGTGTTCTTCCCGATTCCCCCCCACCACCGCTCGGCCCACGGCCAGGGCCTGGCTTCGTGCGTGTGGAAATAGGGGGGTTCCTTCAGAAGTGCGATGCGAGCACGCAGCAGGCCCTCGGGAAGACATCCTGCGCCAAGCTCCCCTCCCGCCCTCCTGGCTCCGGCCTCCGCCCTCTTGCATCCTTCCCCTCTTCTCATTCCTCCTGTTCTCTTTCCTCCCTGTTCCCGATCCTCAGTCCTCCTTATCCTCCTCCTCCTCCTCCTTCCCCCTCCTCCATGCTCCCTCCTTCTTCCTCCTTCCTCCATCTCCTTTTCCTCTTCCTCCCTGCTCCTTCCTCCCTCCTCCTCGTCCTCTGCCTTCTCATCTCCGCCTTGTTTTCCCCCCCCTCTCTCCTCATCTCCCTCCTCCTCCTCCTCCTCCTCCTCCTCCTCCTCCTCCTCCTCATGCCTCTGCCCGACTCCTCCATAGCCACTATGGCTCACGCCATCTGGACTCGCTCGTGTCCTGCATGAAGGGCCCTTCCAGCGCATCTGCGCCTCGGCTCTCCCGCTCTCTCGCTCGATGGTCACTCGTGCTCGATTGCAGTGGCTCTCAGGAGGGAAAGAAACACACAGACACAATTAATCGCCGATTCCCCAGAAAATATGGGAAAATATGGGAAGTGGGGGGGGAAGACAAGAACCCAGAAAATATGGGAAAATATGGGGGATAATTTTATTTGTGTGTCCCAATTCCCCTTCAGGCTCCCGCATCAGCTTGCACAGGGACGCACGGCGCACTCGCATTGGACACCCACGCCAACACGGGATGCTGCCCTGCGCCGCGCTTCTGCGCGAGCTGCACGCCGAGGTGGCCGACGGCTTCCTGCCACCGTGGGCTCGGCATCTCATGACGGAGCTGCCGCCTGGGCCCGTTGGTTCCGCGGACCACGGGCACACGGCATCGAGTGGGAACGCGTTGCTTCAATGATGCTTCGCCCCCCTCTCGTTATCTTTGGGCTCTTGTTGCCAGTGGCCTCCCAGGCGGTGGGCTCCCTGTTCAGCAGGCGAGTTGGCTTTCGTGTGGTGAGAGCTTCTGGTGGGTGTTCCGTGCAGAGGCTTCCCGTTCTTCATGTTGGTGGGTCTCCTGGCGATGGGCTTCCCGATCTTGTTGCTGGGCTTCGTGATGGTGGTCTTCTTGTCGGTGAGTTCATCGCTGCTGGGCTCCTGGTCGAGCGCTTCCCGTTCATCATGCTGCTGGGCTTCCTGTTCACGGGCTTACTGTTCATAATGCTAGTGGGCGTCCTGTTCTAGGGCATCCTGGCCATGACATGTGTGGTTTCCCGTTCATCTTGGTTCGTATGAAATGTGCCCAGGGCGTTCTCCACTGTCTTTAATTTGGCGTGTTACAATTCATGTTCGTAGCGTATGTTGGTCCCAACATGGAACTACAAGCGCAAAACGCACCACACTATGCGTTGCGTTTTAGCTACGTTGTTCTCAGTGTTTTCAGATTACTTGGTTGCATTGTTTAACACTGCCGCCTACGAAGTTCTCAGTTCCTTCCCCTGGCGTGCAAGCAAACAGTGAGGTAGACATCGTGAGATGTATTAATATGTAATAATAGTGGTGAAGGATGGATGTGGGAGGCATCTTCCAGGAGTAGGACCCTTTTTTGATGCAGTGGCGGATCGCTAGCTACGCTTACGATCCGGGCGGATGGAGCGCTGGCCGCTTGAGCCCTAAACGGCGACGTGGACGCGCGCCACGCTCGCTTCACATACTACCCAGTCCTCTGACCTACTTTCAGAGTCGAGGGAGAAGTAGACGAGCAGTAGCGAGCGTTAGGCTGCACTCGTACGGAACTGTGCTACACAGCGCACATAGCCTCAGGATATGATTTCAATTCCTAACTGCTTTGCGGCTATGGGGCTCGCACGTGACATACGTAGCGGTCACGGCAAGCCTTGCGAAGAAAGAAGTAGCAGACTGAGACAGCGTGTACCCACGCGCGCAACGCGAAAAAGTCAGCGTGGGCGAATCGGCTGTGGGGGCATGTCATCATGCTGATTTTGAGATCGTGGTGAAGCGCCTCCGCGCGAGTGTAGTTCGTATCTTAGCTTGTTTCCAAGCGCATCATACATCGGAGCGTAATGGCGTAGAGCCGTGGCGTATACGCTGCTTGTGGTAGTAAGGCGGGCGTCACAGGTAGGGGAATTAGTTTTCCCGCTAATAGCGTCTCCGCCTGCAGTAGTCACGCTCTGACATCGCAGTGGTGGTAGCGGCATACCATGCCGCGCCGTGAAGTCAGAGTGCGATAGACAGAGCTGACCACATGCGGGTGAGGCCAGCTCCGCTGCCAAGCAAGCAGTGAGGTAGACATCGCGAGATGTAGTCATTGTGGTGAAGGATGGATGTGGGAGGCACCTTCCAGGAGCAGGACCCTCTTCCGATGCAGTCGCGGATCGCTGGCTACGCTCACGATCCGGGCATGTGGAGCGCTTGCCGCTTGAGCCCTGAACGGCGGCGCGGACGCTCGCCTCGCTCGCTTCACCTGCTATCCAGCCCTCTGACCTACTTTCAGAGCGTGCAGTCCTCAGCCCTGTGGCTTTCTCAGTCCGACTGATCGCCGTCCTCGGAGCCCCTCCTGGTAGGGCGACGAGATCTATACATATCCACTGCTCCTGGCCAGGCCGATCCTGGGCCCAGGAGCTGTGTATATGCCTCCCTGGCCAGGCCAGGAGGGCGTATACACCGCTCCTGGGCCCAGGATTGGCCTGGCCAGGACCAGTGGATATGCATAGATCTCGTCGCCCTACCTGGGGCGTCGGGCCTCGGCGATGGCCCATTGCCCCTCTTGGGGCCATCGGGCCTGCGGGCCTGTTTCGGGCCGGTGTGAGACCGGTGTTCGAGTTTTTGTTGTTGCTTGCGTCTTTAGCTCTTTGTGGGGGAACGGCGGCAGGAACGAAAACGTGGCAGCGAAGACAGCAGGGAAGTCAAGGAGCGGCCTTCGACCAGAAAACGGAGCACGCTAAGATAATGGTGGTCCACAGCGACAGGCCTAAAGCGAGGAACATACTAAGCTAGAAACGCTAACATACCGTCGCGTTTTTTCAGCGTTTTTAGCACGTCAGTAGTCCAAAATGCGGAACGGTAATAATAAAACAGGGCGTTCTTAAGAACCAAGCCGTTCATCATGCGGTTGGGCTTCTTGGTAGTGGGCTTCCAGACCACACAATAGTTCTTCCTGATGCTAGTTTCCCTTTCCAATGGCTTCCAGTCCAGCGTGCTCATGGGTTTCTGTTCAGGAGCTGGTAGGCCTCCTGTCCATGAGCTTCCCGTTCGTCATGGTGGTGGTTTACCTGGTCTTGTTCATACTGCTGGTGCGTCTCTTGCTGGTAGGCATCCAGTCCATGCTAGGCGTCCTGACAGTGGGCTTCCTGCTCAAGGGTCTCCAGTTCATCATGCTGGTGGGCGTCATGCTCAGCGGCTGCGAGTTGTTCCTGCGGATGGGGCTCCTCTAGTGGTGTTTTTTTCCTGCTCATGGATTTCGAGATGGTACGCTCCCCGATTCTGTGCTTTATGTAGGCGGGCTGTCGCTTGCTGAAGGGCGTTGCGTTCATCTTTCTGCTGGTGGGCTTCCAGATCTGGTTGGTGACAGTGTCCCTGGTGATGCTAGCGCGTGTGGAGAAACACCTGGCCCATCTGCTGATCGAGTCCCCGATCCTACCCGCGAGCGCGCAGATTCATCTGGCGATCCTCCAAAGGCCAAGCCGAAGAAAACGAAGGCGAGACCGACACAATGGATCACGGAGATACCGAGGGTTGTGGGTGGGTGTTGGACATTCCTCCTCTTCCTTGTCCTCGTCCTTCATTCCTTGAACCTGAAAGTGGGCATCCTTCACACTCAGTCTTGCCCACATCCAGACACTATTGTACCCAGATCACTCACACGCCCGCTCGCAGGCTTGCTCACTCTCTTAACATTCACCCGCACATACTAATTCACACTCGAACTCAATCACAATCAGGCCCGTTCACATTGCGACTCACTCATATTCAGACTCACTCATACTTTGACCCATTTACATTCAGACGCGCTCCCATCCAAACCCACCCACAATCAGATTAGCGCATACTCAGGCACACTCGCAGTCAGACCCACCCCCCTCTCAGACTCACGCATGGCCAGGCGCATCCGTACTCAGATTGAGACTCACTCACACGGAGACTCATGCACACCCAGGCTCACTCATACTTTGACTCACACACATCCAGAGTTCATCACATTCAGACTCAACCACACTCAGACTAAGTCACATTTAGATATGCTCACATTCAGACCCACGTACCCTCAGACTCACCCATGCTCCCATGCACTCGTACTCAGACTCACTCATACTGAGACTCGCACTCATCATATCCAGACTGAGACTCACTCACAGTCAGACTTTCGCTCACTCAGGCTGACTCGCATTCAGACTCGCCCACACTCAGACTCACTCATACCCAGAACCACTCGTATTCAAACTCACTCATAGTCATACTCACTCACAATTCGATTCAATCAGACACGGACCCATTTGCAGTCAGACTCGCTCACATTCATGTTAACCCATACTGAGTCTCACACACAGGTGGTTCCTGCTATATAGCAGGCGTGGCACCTGGGCACCCCGAGGAGGAGCAGCCGTGGTGGGAACATTCCACAGGCCGCGTTCAGATGGTGGGGATATTTCAAGTAGTTTGCTTGTTTGGGCGCCAAGGCTTCTTTTTGTTGGTGGCCCAGTGTTCACCGCGATGTAGCAGGCGTGGCACTTCGGCACCCCAAGGGGGAGCCGCCATGGGCGGGTACACTCCAAAAGTCGAGTCCAGAGTAAGGGTATCTCAGGCGGTTTGCCTGCTCCGCCCCTTCCCCGGGCGTTTCTATTTGGGCGGTCCACTGCTAGCAGGGTGGCATCTGGGCACTCCAAGGGCGAGCCGCCAGATGTTGGGACACTCCAGAAAGGACGCGGCCAAAGTTTGGGGACGTCTCATGCGGTTTGCCTGTGTCGCCCCCCCCCCTCCACCAGGCGTCACTCTTCGGGTGGCCCCATGCTCACCGCGATATAGCAGGCGTGGCACCTGGGCGCTCCAAGGGGGAACCGCCACAGGTGGTTACATTCCAAAAAGTCGCGTCCGTAGTGTTGGGATGTCTCAGGCGAATTGCTTGTTTCTGCCGCCCTCCCCCCGGCGTTCCTTTGGGACTTGTGTGTTGTCATAGTGGATTGTCGGGACGTCTCAAGCGGTTTGTTCGTTTGTTTGGGTTCCCAAGCCTTGTTGTGGTCCAGTGTTCGCCGCGACATTGCGGACGTGGCGTTTGGGCACCGCAAGGCGGAGCCGCGAGGGGTGGATGGGGACACTCCGGGAGTCGAGTCCAGATGGTGGGGGTGTCGCACGTGGTTCGCTTGCTCGGCCCCTCAGGCTTCTGTCCTTCCGTTGTCCAGTGCTCACCGCGATGCAGCAGGCTTGGCAGTCGGGCACCCCAAGGGGAGCCGCCAGGGGGGGACACACTCCCAAGTTCGTGTCCAGATGTTTGGGGACGCCTCAGGCGATTTGGCTTGTTTCGCCTCCCAAGGCTTCTCTTTGGATTTGTGTGCTCTCAGATCAGATCTGGGGTATGTCTCAGCCAAGGCGCTTGTTTCAGGCGATGCGCTGGCTCCTCCCTTTCTTCTTCCATCCTTCCTCATTCCCTTCGTTCCTCCTCCCCTTTTTCCTTCCTCCGCCCCTCCTCCTCCCTTCCTTTCTTTTTCCTCCCCCCCTCCGTCTGGCCGTTCGGAATCGAGCTGTTGTTGGCCACGGTTCCAGGAGCCAGCCCTGCTGCAGCGAGAACGGCAGGATGCATGCCCCCTCGCTCTTCCACTTGTGCTTCCCGCCGTGTCTCGCATGCAAAAACTCCCAAAGGAGGATGAGGACGCCGCTTTTGTCGTCGATGTCGTCGTTGTCGTCGTCGTCGCTGTCGCGCCCGTCCTCTACGCGGACTCGGTTTCACACCCAGATGCTCACAGGCAGAGTTCCCCAGCGAGACGTGACAGGAGTTTGAGGTGCACACATGGGGATCTCCGCGTCGAGTGATTACCTTCTCTTGTCGTTTGCATCTTCTCGTCCTGTCTTGTCCCCTAGTTCTGTCGCCTCCATGTCTCTTCTCTGCCTTCGCGTTGTTGTTTCGGCGCTTTGTCGCGTTCAGTCTCCTGCGTCCCTTGTTATACTGTTATCCTCCGCGCTTGCTCCCCACGGACAACTAACACGGAATTGCAGTAATGAAGCTAGTTGTCGTTGCCTAGGGTGATGATGTTTCAGCCGACTTTAGCCTTGATCACCAGAAAGAATTTCGAGCAACAAGAAAGTACCGAAAGTGAAGGGTGTTCACATGTCGGGCCCTGGGAGGCGATACTCGCTCGAAACTGTTTCGATACTCGTCGGGGTGCTCGAATTTTTTTGTTGGGATGCGGCCCTTCACTGCGATGGGAGCAACAGCAGCCTTGGGTGTGAAACGAGATCCCTCCGCCCTCCTCACATCTCCCTCTCCCCCTCCTCCTCTCCCACGTGCTCCGCCCCCTCTCTCTCCGAGCCTCGGGGGCTCGGGCGAGTGGGTGGGGGCTTCTAGACCCATGACCTCTAAGGAGGCGATCGAGGGCGGCTGCGCGTGCGAGTGACCGCGCCGGTCCGCCACGCTGCGCCCGCGTGGGGCCGGCAACACGGCGGCACCCCGAGGGCCTGCTGGAGGTCCAAGGTCCAAGAGAAAGGAACGAGACGGGGGGGAGGAGGGTTCGAGGGGGCGGGGGAGCACGAGGGAGGAGGGAGAGAGAGAGAGCGAGAGATGATATACATGCACGCGTACCTGTATGCATGTGTACATGCCTGCGTAGAGAGGGCGAGAGGGAGAGAGAGGGACAGACAACAGGGTGTGAGGATATGTAATGGAAATGCGGACGAGAGGGGATTTGGTGGGATAGGTGAGGGGTGTGGCAAGCTAGGTGCACCCGTGCATCATCTGACATCCTGCCTCTCCACCCATCGCTTCACATTGCGCTAATTGTTCTATGTCCGCCGACGGGTGCCACAGCGGATCAGGAAATCCCCCACCGCGTGACGCGCAAGATGCAATGGGGAGCTGGGTGCATTCGAAGAGGTGCAGGAGGATGAGGAGGCGGATGAGCAGGAGGAGAAGCAGGAGGATGATTAAGGATGAGGAGGAACAGCTTCAACAGTAGGAGCAGGAGTAGGAGGAGCGGGAGGAGCTGGAGGACCAGGCGATGGCGGAGGACCAGGGGATGGAGGGGAAAAGGGGGCCAACCAGGACGAGGAAACACTCTGATCCAGAAATCAGGCCCGCGCTGGGGCGAGAGCGCCATTCTGAACGACGGGAATACAGCGCCGATCTAAGCATGATGCCAGCGCTGCAGCGGGAACGGATTTTGATATAACAACCATATACACTATCACCATTTGATTGTACGTCAAAAAACATGCGGGATAAATAAACTGACCCGCTCAGGGGGAGGAGAGAAGCATTGAGCTCGAGTAGTTATGGAGGGAGGAGGGAGGAGGGAGGAGAGTGGGTGAAGGAGCGCTGGACGGAGGAGGGAGAAGGGAGAAAGAGCACTTGGAGGAAGGGGGCGAATGGGACTCCTGGCCGTCGTCGGTGTCCACCTCCTTCGCCTCATCCTGCTCCTCGTCATTCTCCTCTTCGCGGTTTGTGGCAACCGACGGGTTGGGAACAAGTAGCGATTTCCCTCCCCCTCTGTCTTGCAGCGGAGACCCATGCCAAGAAACACCCTGTTTGCCCCCAGCATGCCCTGGGTTGCTTGGGTTTCGATGGCTTTGCGACGGAAAGCGCGACGCTCCCACACCAAACATCTGTGGCCGTCCTGGGGTCTCGGGGCTGGGCTTCCTGTGGAAGGTCTCTCGTGCTCTGGCCCCTGCTGTACCTCTTTCGCTGCGTCTCAGGTGCCACTGAAGAGGTGCGTGCTCCTGCCGTGGGGCCCGCAGGGGGCCGTCGCCCCGTTCTGCCGTGCGGGCAGCGCCTCCTGAGGGAGGCACCCTTCGGGTCTCATGGTGTCGCCGAGTGCTCCGTGGGCGAAGCCCCTCCGCTGCCGACGCGTGTCTTCGGTGCCGTCCTATCCTATCTCATCCTATCGTCCTTCCCCTCCTCTTGCCATTTTACCTTGGCATCGCTCGGACGTGTGCATTTTTCCTTCGGCGGGGACCATCGAGGAGCATCCTTGATCATTTGGCGAAACAGCCACGCACGAAACCGACAAAAAACACAGGGAATGGACGTCCGAGCGATGGCCAGTTACGCAAGAGCGTAAAAAACGCCCCTACCTTAGTTTAGGAGGCGCTGTGCGCTGAGCCTCCTGTGGGCTGACAGGGTGACCCCGCGCATCGCGCGTGCCGCGAGGCGTCCTTGCGGCTCTCTGGCCTGTGGGAGCTCCCAGGAGGTTTGCTGACCACGCACTTGTAACCCAGGGTAGGGGCGTTTTCCATTCCTCAATTTACCCAGTCCTACCCCCTGTCCTCCTCGTCCTCCCCCCCAGTCCCTCCCCAGTGCCGACGACGGCGAGTACGACGTTAACGAGGGCGACGGCAACGTCGACTTAGCCATACTGCGGCGACGACAATGGCGACAGAAAGCCACTGGGAGCTTCCGCGCTCGACGACGGCGGCGGCGAAGAGGAGGCCGACGGCAGCGGCGGCGTTCTTCGGGGCCCCCCAGGGGCCCGACACGCACCCAAGGAGCAGGAGCAAAGCTTGAAGGACCCACGGACCCGGTAAGTAACCCACGCCCATGTATGTTTGGACATGTCTTGCATACGCGTGTTGCGTGACCCTATGGTGCAATGCTATGTGTCGCACGGTGTTATGTGCCGTGCTTCCTCTTCGTATGATGTGCCAGATCGTTCTACGGTCCCAAGCACCAAGCATTCCAAGCTCGGCCGAGCTCGTGCGTGATGCAACGCGGTCGCATGGGAAACGCTCCCACTAATCATCCTGCGCGCTGATTCCGAACGCATGGCACCTGTATCAAGGGCAACGATAGGGGGCGGGGATGGACATAGATGCCACGACCCCCCATCGCCCATCGATCGCCGATAGGGCTCCGATAGCCCCATCCCGCCCAGGAAGGTGCGGATGCGCTATCGGGGGCCAATCGGTGATCTATCGGCGATGCATCGCCGATTCCAGGTCGATGCATTCCCCCTGTAATGCGCCAGCTTTGCGCGGCGTCTCGTCCACGACAGCTGCTAGTACAGTTCGCCTGGACACTCTGTTTGGACAGCGCGCTCCGTCGTGGTGCTGTCTCCCCTGCGCGTCGAGTTGTCGGGAAATCCACAACGTGCGCGGGCTGAGTTCCCACTGTCCCTTTTGTTTTGGGCTTGAACTCTTTTTTCGGCTGTCACTCATGCTCCAGAGTGGGATTCTTCTGGGGCGCAGCCTAATACTTCTGCGGGTGATTGTCTCGCTTGCGGCGCTATTGGTGGCGTGTCCGCTCTCGTTCCCTCGTCGTCGTCGTCGTCCTCCTCCTCCTCCTGTAGTTCCGTGAATTTCTCATGCCGCGTTGATTCAAGCCGCGTTCGAACGCTCTGCACGCGGACGCGTGCGAGTGGGCGTCCGCCATTCGCTTCTGCGTCTCACGCTGTGGCGCAGCCATGCTGTAGTGGTGGGCAGTCTGTGTGGTCGGGGCCGTTGCAGGGGGGGGGGGGGGGGGAAAAAAAGCCCCCCCTGTGTCAGTCCCCCCCCCGTCGTTAACCCTCAATCCTGCGCGCTGATGCCGAACGCACGGCACCTGTCAGCGCCATGCAGGCGATCACGGTCCGTGCGCCCCGCCCAGAAGAACGCCGTTGGGGGCCTCGGCGTGTCGCCGCCAGGTAGGCGTCGTCGAAGGGGGGATGCCCGATATCGTCGACGCGGAGGCGTCGCCGAGCGCGCTCCGCTGCTCGCAAAAGGCCTGCTCGCAAACGTCCGGATACAGTGGAGACCCATGCCAAGAAGCACCCTGCTTGCCTGGGTTTCTTGGGTTTCGATGGTCCTACCATAAAGAAAGCGTGATGCGCTCCCACGCCCCCCCCCCAAAAAATATACATCCTGGGGTCTCAGGGTTCGGTTTCTTGTGGAAGGTTTCTTGTGGTCGGGCCCCTACTGTAACACATTGCTGCCTCGTTTTCATGGATCGTAGATCCCTCGCGGCGGATCCAGGCCATTCGCGAGTATAGTACCTTTGCGAGCAGTGGGGATCGCTTGTCTGGCGTGGGCGGCGCGCAAAGGGGGGTAGGAGGAGGGGGGCCTCTTCGAAGGAGGCTGCTCCTTACAAGGCGCGGGCCCTGTCTGCAGATGTAGGGCCGGCGCCTTCTCAGAAGCAGCCTCCCTCCAAGAAACCTTCCCTGCTTCCCCTGCTCCCCTCTGCGCGTGGCCGACCTAAAACGACGCGAAGATCGGGTCAAAATCGGATCGGGATAACTCGAAATCTCTGAGAATCGGCGGGTTTGGAGGATGTATTGGGCGCCGCGGCCGCTCCAGAGCGTTCCGGAACGCTCTGAGAGCGCTCCAGAACGCTCTGGAGCGATTTATCCCGATCCTAGCCCTGTTTTAGTGGTGATGGTGGTGTGCACGGTAGGTTCACGTGGCGGTGCCGCCGAGGAGGCAGAGGCTCCTCGCCACCCTGCCCCCTCCCCCCCCTGTCCCTGAGATCCGGCGCTGCAGCAAAAATTGCAGCACGGCCTGCAATCGCGACCCGTGCCCCGCGCCCCATCTTCCCGCGCCCTGCTTCGAGCCGCATCGATCCGTGAGGAGGGTCCAGGGGCCCGAAACTGCGCGGAAACACCCGTGGTGAAAAAACTGCAATCGGCGTCGCCCCTACATACTTATACTATATGTTCGTCGCCCCCCACAGGGGCGGCGCGCGCACCGAGAAATCTTATAGTATATTCGCCGTGGCGGGCGCTTTCTGGCCACACCGCTCGGGAAACGATATACCACAAGATGGGTATACTACATGTTTGGGTGGGACGCGCGCCTCCAGGGAGAACATCTAGTACTAGTATGTCTCTGTGCGTCCCATGCAACGCCAGGATCGCAGGGGTGCGCGCCGCCAACCGCCGTCGACGTGGATGTCGTCTTGGTATCGCTCGGACGTGTGCACGTTTTCTCGGCGGGGATCATGAAGGAGCACCCCAGACCATCCTGCGAAAGAGCCACGCACGACACCGAAAAAAGCACAGGGAATGGACGTCCGAGCGATGGCCAGTCGTCCGCGCGCTGCGCCAGCGTCCGCGGCCGCGCGCGCGCGCGGGGCGCGGCCCGGCCTCCGCGGCCCCGCCGGATGCGCGGGGCCCGCCCGGGCATCGAGGCCCAGCGCCGCCCGCCGCCCGCCGGGCGAGCTGCCGCCGCTCGTCGCCGTCTCCGCCCTGCGTCGTCGTCGCTGGTCGTCCTCCCCGTCCTCCTCGTCCTCCTCGTCCTCCTCGACAGCGATCACAACGAGCAGCGACAACGATCTTTTTGATCGTCGTGATCGTTCTGACTTTTTAGCGTGGATCGTCATCGGTCTCCTCGTCGTCGCTGTGATCGTGGTGATCGCTGTCGTTGTCGTGCTGGGGTCCCTTCAGCGAGGCAGATGCCACATCTCTCGCCCGCGCTGCTCCGCCAAGCGCTCGCGTTGCCCCTCGGCGGTGCTCCTCGTCGACCCCCTTGTCCCCCCCCGTGGCCAGGCTCGGGCTGTCACGCGCCCCCCTTGACGCTCCGACCTCCTCGCCGTGCTCGGCGCGCTCGTCCTCGCCCTCGTCGCCTCGGCGTGCTCGGCCTCGTCCTCGTCCTCCTCGGCGTGCTCCGGCCTCCTCGGCGTCCTTCGCAGGGTGGGAGGAGCTGAGGAGGGGGCTGGGGGAGCAGAAGCAGATGCCGCCATCCCGGCGCCGGGCCGACCTGTAGAGGGGCCCGGAGTGGGCCGGAGCCGCGGGAGGTAGCTGCCCGCGGGGGGGGCGGAGCGAGGTGGTGGAGAGGGACAGGGAGAGGGATGAGGACGAGGAGGAGGAGGAGGAGGAGGAGGAGGAGGAGGAGGAGGAGGAGGAGGAGGAGGAGTAGGAGCCGGAGGAGGAGGAGGAGGAGGAGGAGGAGGAGGAGGAGGAGGACCAGAGTGCAGCGGTGCTGTACTACACCTTGCCGTCCCAACTCCCAGCCCCATACGCCCCTACAAGCTTTCTCCTCGCTGCAAGGAGTCCCCCCCTGAAGGTCCAGAACCAGATGGGCCTGCCATTCTGGAGAGAGCCCCATTTTCCAAAAGTGATTGCGTTGCATCCTTCTGGTGCGTCATCAGGAAGGCGAAATCAACTGATCATACCTTCCGGCGATGTGTCCAACGAGATCCCCATTCCGAAAAGGACCCCCCCATCTATGCCAGTATCGCGCAAACTTGCACTTGTTGTAGCTGTGGCCCTCGATGAAGTCTCGAGGCGAGAGCTCCGTTCTGAAAAGGAGCCGCCCCCCCATCCTTGCAGTGCTACATGTATGGAAGTTCTTGCGTGGGCGCGGCGCACATGCTTCGCTCGCCCACACGTCGTCGCGCGAGCGGACGGCAGTGTCGCTCCCGCCGCTCTCGATGAACTCTCGAGCGAGAGCTCCGTGTTGAAAAGGAGCCGCCCCCCATCCTTGCAGTGCTACAGGTATTGAAGTTCTGGCGTGGGCGCGGCGCACATGCCTCGCTCGCCCATGCGTCGTCGCGCGAGCGGGCGGCAGCGTCGCCCCCGCCGCGCAATTGTTTGTCGCCTGCGAGCGGCGCTCCCGCCTCGTCGCGGCGCGCAGCTCCCGCTCGCCGAGGTCGTCGGGGGAGAGGCCGCGCGCGAGCGGGCGACCTGTCTCAGGAGGGAAAACACACACACGCACACACACACACACACGCACACACACACACACAGGAGCCCAGGAGGAGGAGGAGGGGGAGGGCACAGGGCGCAGGCACCGCACGCACAGAGCGCAGGCGCCCACGGTGGGCCGTGCTCCTCCGGAGGCCTCCGGAGAGGACGGCAGGCCGCTCCAGTCCGCCCCCTTCCGTGCCCCGGCACGCCGGCGCGCAGGTGCGCGCGCGGCGCTCGTGGAGCGTGGCCACCAGGCCATAGCTTTCAGTCGAGCAGTGACGAAGCGTCTTGGCTCGCCTCTAGGCCCGCCAAAGAATGGTCTAAGAACCTGTTGTGGTCTGCACGAAATGTTCTTAGAACATTTCTGGCTGGGACTGTCTTGCTTTAACGCATCGGGCTCATGTTCTAAGAGCATTGTTTTTCTTTGTAGAACAGTTTGGGGTTCTAAGAACATTTTGTAGTAGGACTATAGGACTTCCGGGACGGTCTGTCCCTGCTCACTTAAGCCGGGCGACGAGATCCATGTGAATATTAGAGAATATTCACAAGAATTGTTTTTTCAGTCACGATCATAGTTTACAAAATACGACCCCTCCTGTAGAGAGGAGTATTCACGATATTCACGTGTATATTCCCTTCTACAGGAGGAATTTCATAGAAGTTCTAGAAAAAAGTGATCCGGCGACGATGTTCCACGCTTTTTTGTATCATTTGACCATCTTTAACTTTTCTTCCACCTGTGGGAGCACACGCCAGAGCGAACCATGGTTACGCGGAGGCGCCGGTACGTTCCGCAGGAGGCACCTCGGGGGTGGACAGAATCCCCGCCCTGACACGTCGATCCGTGAATCGTCCGTTTTCGGTTCTCGAGGGGGCGCCGCGGCCGTCCTTTTCCAGGCCTGCGCCCGGGTTCGGGCCCGAGGTCTTTGTCACGAAGCCACGTTTTACGAAAGGGGGTTCTGTCCATCCTCGATCGCGCCGCGGGAGCGCGGGTGCGGCCCGCGGGAGGCACCTGCGCACGCGCATGCCCGAGCCCGAGGGGGCTCTGGCCTCGCGCAATGTGCGGCTAATAGGCCTGGCGCCCTCAGCCTCCTCCTCCTCCTCCTCCTCCTCCTCCTCCTCCTCCTCCTCCGCGCGCTCCTGGCTCGGGGCCTCCCGCCAGGCCTCCCGGGTCGCGGGGGGTCTTTCGCTCCGGTTCTCGCCGCCCACCTGCTGGTCAGGCGGGGTGCGTGCTCAGGGGAAGAGGCAATGACACACACATCAAAGCTCGGAGGTCCGCGCGGATTTCTCGAATGGGCGCGGGGGCCCCCTGGCGGCGCCTCCGGCGCCGCCCCTGGCGCGCTCCGCGCGCCAGGGAGGGGGTCCAGCGCGGATCCAAGAAGTCCGCGCGGACCTCCGACTTTTTATGTTTATGCCATTTTTCGTTCCCCTATGATCGGGCGGGGTGCGCGCTCGCGTCCTGCAGGAGTTCCTCTGCTCCTTCGCGTCCGCCCAGCTGCTTTTGAGCGGGCGAGGGGCCTGCTCTTCCCGGCCATACGAACCAGGAGACACATCAAGACACATCGACGACACGTAAGAGTGGCCCTTTGCCAGAGTGACCTGTGGCGCGGCCCAGAAGGGTACCCCCAGCACTGGCCTGGAGCGGCTGACTCACTTGAATCTGGCCCCCTCGCGCACCAAGGGTCACTCTTGCCTAGGGTCACTCTTACGTGCAGCCGAAAGCAGCACGGCATGTAGGCAGGCATGCCCCCACGCAAGACGCGCCATGGGCAGCAGGCAGTTTTTTATCTTCCCGCCGCCGCCGCCCTCCTCGCTCCTCCCTCCCCCCACAGAGTCTGATGCTGGCGGTAGTCATAGTAGTCTGCATGATGTCTTGCATGATATTTGCCTTGTCGTTTCTTGCGTCCGTTTCCACACTCTTGGTGAGGAAGAAAACGGCTTTCAAATGCAACCGGCTTTCGCGTTACGACAGTGGTTCTTGAATCTTGCGGTCCGCTCCCATCTTCTCCCTCCCCAAAAAAGTCATAGTAGTCATAGTAATCTGCATGATGTCTTGCATGATATGTTCTTGGCCTCCGGACTGCGCGCGCCATCTGCCCGGCGGGCCCGTCCCTCCTGCGCGGGCGGCGCCCGCGCCCCGCCACGTGTGCTTTCCGTGCGTTGCTCCCCGTCTTGCACGGAACTTCGCAGTTGGCCCCTTGGCGGACTCGAGCTACCGCCCCATCGTGCCGGCGCAGTTCCTCCTTCCTCCCCCCCTCCTCTCCTTTGTCGCAGGCCCAGAGGTTGACACCAACACCAATTTCGGCGGTGTGCCTCCACCGAGGGAAGAAGATCCCGATCTTGGTGATGGTGGTAATATTCTGGCATCCAAGGTAGCCGAAATATAACCACCTACACCGAAATCTAGGATCATCTTCCTCCTGTGGAGGCAACCCCCTCTGTTGGTGTTGGTGCCCATTTCCCCCTGAAGTCTAATTTAGACAGATTTGACGTCTCAACTTGCCTGTAGCGTACGCTCGCAAACTTGACGTAGCCCCTCTGCCTGGGCATGAGGCTTGGCTCCGGCTCGTCTGCTTTCTGCTCGTGTGGGTCCTCAGTCTGTGTACTTTCTCCGGGACTAGCCGCGGAGACCAGTCTACGCACGCGCGAGTTTTAGTTTACGTAGCACCCCGCAGTTGCGGATGAGAGCGAGGGAGCGGCGGGGACGTAGGCAGTTTGCGAGGCTTTGAAGAAGCCCGCCGCAGTCGCCTAATTTTCACAAATTCTGCAACGAGCCCGCCGCAGGCGCCGATTCTTCTTTAAAGCAATGTGGGTCGGTCGTGGGGTGGATCGCGTGTGGGTCGCGGGTGGGTCGCGGGTGGGTCGCGGGCCGGATCGCGGGTGGGTGGCGGAAGGGTCGCGGGTGGGTCGCGGGCCGTGTCGTGAGGAAGACAACACGAACAAGAAGCAACAACGAAGAACAGCAAACAACAACATTCCGCAGCGCAGAACCTCACTTCAGCCACGCGCCCAGGGACAGTGAATGACCGCTCGGCCCCCTCACTCTGATGATTGCCCGCTGCCTTCTCCCCTTCGTCTCCTCCTCTCCCGTCCCCCTCGCATCCTCTCTTCGTGATGTGCGGAAGTATATCCGAGGGATGTTTTGTTTTGAAGTCCCTCCCCCTTGTTTCTCTCGGCGGGGACTCAACTCGCCACTCCCTCTTCTGCTCCTCCGTTTCCTCGTCTCTCTCTTTCTCTCTCCCCCCTCCTCCTGCTTCTCTTCCTCCTCGTCCTCCTCCTGTCCCTCCTCGTGGTCGGTGTCGTAATCCTCGCGGCGGAGATGGTTTTCCCTCTATTGTTGGGCGGGCTGGATCATGTTTGGGGGCTCCTCCGCCCAGGGAGTAATACATTGTGGGCTGCCCTACACGCGAGAGGGTTTGCAAGCATCTTCTCCCGAGGACAGCAATTGGACATCTGTTGTTGCTATTGTTGTTTCGGGGGTGGACAGACCCCCCTTTAGTAAAACGTGGTTTAGTGAAAACAACCTGAGGCCCAAACCTGGCGGGCGCAAGCCTGGAAAATAACGGCCACGGCGCCCTATCGAGAATCGAAAACGGACAATTCACTAATCAACGTGTCACTGTTGGGGGTTCTGTCCACCCCCGATTGTTGTAATCGCGCGTGTAGTCGTGATTGTACTCGCGTTAGCAATCGTGATGGTGGTCGCGATTGTAGTCGTGGTCGTGGTCGCGGTTGTAGCCGCACTTGGCGCGACAGTAATCGTAACCATGGTCGCGGTTGTAGTTATAATCGTAGTCGTAGTAGCAGTCGTAGTCGTAGTCGTCGTCGTCGTCGTCGTCGTCGTCGTCGTCGTCGTCGTCGTCGTCGTCGTCGTCGTCGTCGTCGTCGTCGTCGTCGTCGTCGTCGTCGTCGTTAATGTGCGGCGGCTGCCATGGAGAATAAGCATTTTTCAATTATTGGTGGGGCCCCAGTCCGTTGACACGGTCGCCGAACACATAGTTCGTGACCACTATTGGGGGAGGTCTAAAGACCGATCGCCGTCAGTACCGTTTGCCGTCGGGGCTTCAGGGGGGATTCGCATGCAGCACGTTCGTTTCCTCTTTCAGGCTACGCTTCGCTGCAGGAGTTTGCCACTGTCGCAGGCCGGCCAGTGTGTGGTTCCAGGCTTGCCTGGCGACTTCTTGATTTGTACAGCGATTGCGGCCGAGTCGTGCCAAGTTGTGTGCTCGCGCGCCGCCGAATCGAACGAAAGCGGCAGCGGGAGCGCGGAGGCGCGAGAGCGGGCGACAGGCTGTCATCGCCAGAGCGCCGCGCAGGCTGCGCGTGACAGCAGCAGTGCTGCTTCCGCGCGGCACATGCTTCGTGCTCGCCCGGCGAAGACGAAGCATGCGCCGCTTGGGCGCTGCGTAATGGGGGGTCATAAATGGGGGGGCGGCGAGAGTGGTCCGAAAAGGTATCCAAACGGTACCTAAACGAGCCCACTGGGGCTCTGGAGGGGCCCGAAAGGCGCACGAAAGGGGACCTTTTCTGACCCCCCCATTTGTGACCCCCCCATTAGGCCACGCCCAAGCCGCGCGCACCGGAAGTGTGGCCGCCCGAGGGAAGGTTGACTTGCCCTCTCGCCGCGGAGTCGCGCAGTCGCCTTCTGAAGTGCCGCTCCCGCCCGTGCGCGGCTCGCGTTGTTTCCCCTCGCCGCGTCGGCGGGAGCGGGGCCGTGCGCGAGCGCTTCATGTCTGCTGGGTAGGGATAGGTTCCAGCCCAAAGTCTGCCACCATTGGTTCTGGGATGGAGGGCGGGAAGGAGGGGGGGATCGGGCGGGTCCCGTTGGCTCGTTCGACCTGGGTACGTGGGAGTTGCAGGGTTGTGTCGGCGCGGCGCCTGCTTCGTCGTCCGCGCCGCGCTCACCGGAAGTTTGCCGCTCCCGCCTCTGCTCGGCCCGCGTGGCTCTCTCTCCCTTCGCCAGGGCGTCGGGAGCGGGAGCGCGCGCTCCTCCTCCTCCTCCTCCTCCTCCTCCTCCTCCTCCTCCTCCTCCTCCTCCTCCACCTCAGGGAGCCCGGGAGGAGGAGGAGGAGGAGGAGCAGGAGCAGGAGGAGGAGGAGGAGGAGGAGGAGGAGGAGGAGGAGGAGGAGCGCCCCAATCCAGAGCATGACTCTTGCGTCGCGGGGGGGAGGGTGGGCATGGGCGGGGCCCTCCGACGCGGTCGGCCTGGCTCACTTGACCTCGCCCTTCCTTGTACCCCCGGTGCTCCTGCTCCCCCCAGCCTTAATACACCTTAGGCGATGCTTAAGAAAACTTAAATTTTCGGCCAGGGTCTCGATTATTCTTAATGTTTCAACGTAAATCCTAAGATGTTAATAGGAATTTTGGGTTTTTAGTCAAGTTCTGAGACTATGAATTTCTGAACCCATGATTTCTTAAGCATTTCGCAGGGTGTAATACCCGGAGTCCCACTCTCACAGCTGCCCGCATCGTCAGCCCTACCCGCTCCAGATCTGCTGTCTCTGCTCCGCCCGTTGTCGAACACCGCTGCTTCTGTGCAGACTCCCGTGCCTACAGTCGGGGTCCTGAAGAAGGAGCCCTTTTCGTTGTGGAGGGGCTCCGTGTTCCTTAACTGTTTCGCAGCTTGCCTTGGATTTTCCTTAGGTTTTCGATACGAAACCGAAGTTCAACGTATGGAAAATAGAGGCCGCGTTCCTTATTTAGGGTTCCTTAGGTCAACGCCTCGACTGTATTCCAGTTCCTCCTCGAGCGCGCACTGCCACTCCCACCGCCCCCTCCGCCGGAGCCCGAGGCTTGATGGCGCCCGCGCCGGTGCTGGTGCCTGCTCTGGCCGCGAGCGGACCTGGGGTGCTGACAAAGTGTCTTTTTCTTGGGAGTCCCGAAACGGTGCGGTGACAGACCGTGCGGTGACCTCGAAATCCCCCAAGACCTGCCCGTCTGCGCACGGCTTTTGGACCTCGGAGGCCCCTGTCGCCCGAGGCATCCTCAGAGAGGGGCTCGAGTCACGAAACCGTGCGGTGACCCCGAATCCCCACCGACTCACCGCACGGTGTGGTCACCACCCCGTTTGGGGGCCCCCGATTTTCCCCGTCTTCCTCCTGCCCGGGCCGCAGCAGGCTGGGGCTCCCCGTCGGCCGCCCGTGCAGCACTCGGGCGCACGGGGCCCGGGCATCCACAGTTCCCCGCAGCGGCTTCGAGGCGCCGCCACAGGTCAGTCACACGGCCCCCTGGCGCATGGCCCCTGTCCCCGTCCCTGTCCCTCCTCGCCCTCCCCTCGTCCTGCTGCTCCCCCTCGTCCTGCCCGGTGCTGCCACGGCTCTCTCTCTCTCTCTCCTCCCTGGCGCTTGGCAGCCCAGAGCTCAGCCGCGCTCGGGTTGGTTCGTGCGGCGTTGGCGCGTCGGCGACGCTGGCGAAGGCGTTTGAGGTTGAATTCTGCGACGCGGAAGCAGCGATGAACACGGTAACGCCCCTGGACAAGATTGAAGTGAACCTTGAACGAGCGAGGTTGCGGTCAATTCAAGGCTGAATGATCGACGCGGTGTCCAAAACCTTTGCGCGCTCCGACGCCGCACGAACCTACCGTAGTGGTGGGGCGAGGGAGGGGGGACGAGGAGGAGGACCTCGTCTCCCTGCTCCCTCCCCTGGGAGGGCGCTGTGGTGGGATGGGGGGGAGGAGAAGGAGGAGGAGGAGGAGGAGGAGGAGGAGGCGGAGGAGGAGGAGGAGGAGGAGGAAGGTGACGGGGACGAGGAGGAGGAGGAGAGGAGGGGAGGAGGAGGAAGGTGAAGGGGAGGAGGAGGAGGAGGAGGAGGAGGAGGAGGAGGAGGAGGAGGAGGAGGAGGAGGAGGAGGAGGAGGAGGAGGAGGAGGGAGGAGGGAGGAGGGAGGAGGGAGGAGGAGGAAGAGGAGGGGAGGAGGGCTGGGAGAAGGGGGATAGGACTAGGAGGACTGGGAGCGCGGGGGGAGGAATGCTGATTATGAGGAGGACTGCTCGCGCACGCTCCAGCGCGCGCTTGGAGAGGAGGAGGGGTGGGGGAACGGAGGAGGGAGGAGGGCAGGCGAGGAGGATGAGGGAAGGGGGAGGAGGAGTCAGGAAGAGGGGGGAGTGATGATGATGAGGAGGAGGAGAGGGGGGGTGAGGAGGGACGGATGACTGGGAGAAGAGTAAGGGATGAGGATCGAGGCGGGTAGGGGGAGAATAATGGTGAGAGGAGGGTGTGGAGAGAGAGAGAGAGAGAGAGAGAGAGAGAGAGCGAACGGCTGAGTGGGAGGAGGAGGAGGAGGAGGAGGAGGAGGAGGAAGTTATATGAGGCTTCAGTTTCAGATGCTGGGGGCTGGGGGTCTCTATAATCATTCCATGGGTTTAGGAGGTTCTAGGGGTTGCCCCCCTCGTTTAGGAGGCAAGCGCGGGATAACGCCCCAAACCTCCGATGTCGGGCTTTGCTCCAAGGTCGGCGGGTTTGGCACATTTCGACCTCTGGAGTCTCTTCGGGACTCAGGACCGTCAAAAACGATCGGGGATGAACAAGTGCCCTTGGTGAGCGTGTTGAAGTTTTGGGGGATGCTGTATGAAAACAAAAAACAAAGCGGCATAGGATGCGTGGGTTTGGAACGCTGTCTGACCTTTCGGATACCGCTTACCCGCACAGAGCACAAGTGTATACGTGTGGTGTGTTGCGGGCGTCCTCCTCCTCCTCCTCCTCCTCCTCCTCCTCCTCTATCCCTTAGGCGACGTTCGCTCCTCCTCTATCCCTTCCTTCCGTCGCCATTTTGGCTCAAGTTCTATCCGCGGGACCCCGGCGGCTTGAGCTTGACCGCAGTCGAGAGGTGAGGCTCAAGGTGTGGATTGTTTGGTTTCACGCACGATCCTCACAGGAGGCTGCCCAAGCCGCTATGAGTGCATGTTGCCAAGGTCGTTTGAACTACACCAGTGTCGCCGCAGCCAGCGGCCATGGCCAATAAGCTTTCTCACCGTGCCGAGCGTCGCGCCGCCACGGATCCGACGCCAGCCCGCTACAGCTTGAGTCCCACTCCTCATGCAAGCCACAGGCGTCGTGATCGGAAGACCGTCAGCCCCAGCCCACCTGAACGCAGCGATCGTAGCCGAAGTGTCCGCAGCTATGTTTGCAGGAAAGCCCTCCTGAGAAGGCCCGTGGTAGGTTTGCAGAGCTGTTGCCCTCTGTCAAGGACACCAGTGTTTCGATTGCCAAACTCGAGTAAACCATGCAGTATGCAATCGACCCCATGCGCAATGCAGTGACCTTCCATGACAAGCCAGGCAGTCAACGCGAGGTTCGTGCATGTCGAGGGCGCCCAGACGGGCGCAATCTCAGCCGCTATGGGAGCAGCAGTGGACACAAAGCTAGCACACATCAGCACTCAGCGGGTTAATCTTCGCGCCCGCCCACCAGTATCAATCTGCGGGTGGGAGCTCGGCTGGCTCCGCTGCCTCTATTCACGATGGAGGTGCAGGGCCTCATGGCACACCTGCCGTCAACAAGACTCGTTGCTGGATTAATACCTTCTCTGGGGCTCTGACTGCGGAGCGGCGCCAGACCCGCTGGTCCAGCGCGGTGGAGCCGCAATTACTTCAGGTACTACGCGATGACGTCTCGCTGACGATCGCGCGCGTGGCCAAGTCCTACTCGGTCAACGCCGCGACAGACGAGAATGCTAGACGCCTTCGCGCACACATACAGTGGATTGCATCGGACGTGTCATGATTCCAGGGGCAGTGCCCGCACCATTGGTTTTAGCTGAGATGCACCAATCGACGTGAGTGCTTGTCGAAGTGCTGCAAGTTTGGTGCGGGAGCAAACATTCGACACCTTGTAGAATGGAGGCCGCCCCGTAGGCAACCTCAAGCTGGGGGCAAGCGGCGACCATGGTCTCGTCCACTCATCGTCGGCAGACGACGTCCTCAAGCCCTACTGGGCAGCATCCGCCACTGCAGGTGGTTGCGTACGTTGCGGGCAAGGACGTGCTGCAGCTGCTGGTTCTGCCTTCAGCGGTTTCGTCGGGGCATTCGGAACCTCCTGGGCGAGACCGTGTGGAACAGCTACCAGGTCGACAGCATCAGTCATATGAAATACCCGGGCGCTAGGTTTCCCCCGCGGAGCCGCCTGCAAGCGTTCTGTCTGCCAAACTTGCCTGTCCTGTTGATGTTTCTGTTGTGCAACCGCTTGCATGTTCACTTCCTTCTTGCCCTGGCCCCAGTGGCCCTGTGCAGTCCTCTCCCTTGCTCACCTTTGAAGGTTCTCTGACTCTTACAGAGTTGCGCGCGCACATCTTGTGTGTTGGCAGTATTTGGTCGCCCGGTGAAGTACAAACCCGCGCGCGCCACTATTTCCGGATGCTTCTGCAGGAATGCGATATCATCCGGATTTCGAAAATTCGCGAACACGAGGAGATCTCGGAGGAAGCCCGCGGTCGTCCTCCCAGGCTTCGGGCAGTTGGTGCCCTCCTGGGCCCTGAGATCGCCGGTGGAGTTATTACCCTGGTTCATGATCGATTCGTGCACCAGCTTCGAGGCTTAAGCGCTAGTGAGATGGCGGAAGGGATGCTTCAGTTAGCCAGCGCGGCTAGCACACTGCTGCCATTCAACTTGCATTTCGACCCCTTCCGTGTCATCGCTGCCCCGAAGGATCAGACCTGCCAGGTCTGTCATGCCTCTCTGAGAACGGAATCTGCGCTCGCAGGTGATTGCCTTCTGCGTTACTGGTGAATGGCGGCTCCGAGTAAGCGATGGCGCGACTCCGTGCGCCCCTCCCCGCCGCGTCAACAGCTTCCACGACCCATTCGAGAGGCGTGCACAAACATATCAGCCTCACCACACTCATGACATAAGTATGGGCGATCGAGTTATATCTGCGGTTAGGGATGATCAGATTTGTCGCTCCTTCTCCCATGTTCATCCTTGACGACGGCCCCATTCCAGGTGTCGCATCAAACCCCTTCAGGACAGCTTGCCTACCGACAGCGCGGCTGCGCTCCTCTCCCTCTCCTCGCTGGCTGCCGCTGCCAAGCGCCGCGCGATTCCGAAGTTGGATGTCCGCGCTTTTTTGTAGAAGAGATAGTGTAAGCATTTCGATTGACATCGATTTTGCCCCCAGACCCAGTCCACGGGTCTCTCGACTGCAAGGGGGTCATCCATGGAGCTGCCCGAAGAGTAAGACGTCGCAACGAAATCCGAGGCCCCCAGGGCGCCGATGAAACGATCTCACTGAGGCTTTTTCTTGCGCGCGCTGCTAGGAATGGGGGCGCTCGAACTGCCCGCCGAGCCCGCGCTGCGCGCCCCCGCCCCGGCAACCGTTTCGCTCGCGAGGCAATGCAGTTGCGCGACCAACCTCGGTTCCCGGAAGGCTGCGCCCTTCGGGTGATATTCGCGCTCCAGCAGCAAGAGCAGGAGCTGCTTGCCGACTTTGTCGAGCCTGCTGTAGAAAGATCTACGCACCGCGCGCTCGCGCGAACTAGTCGCCGCCTGCCCCCCCGCGCGATCGTCGAATCTGCTCTCGTAGCACGATTGAGTATCATGGGGCCCCTCTGGCCTCGCCCGGCGACTCGGGCCAAGCTCTCGTGGCTCGCAGGGGGGGGGGGGGCGGAAATTGGCATGATGCAGGGATCGGGCCCCGACGAGGTCCTGGACCCCGGGCCCCCCTTCCCCCGACGCCCCCCCCCTCCCCCCGATTCTCGGGGGATTCCCGAGGAGAGCTTCAACGATGTGCTGAAACGACTTCGCGAGCCCGCTCCTGGCCAGTCAGGAACCAGCGCCGGTTGAATCGGGCCTGTCTCTCTACAGGAGGGAAATGCAAAAATAGTCAGGAAATGATTCGTGGGCGAATTGTCAAGAGTTTTCGAAGATGTCCGATCATTTTTAACCGAGGCCTCCAAAGCTCCCCTGCAGGGAGGACGTGCCCGTCCTGAAGCTACGGCGCACGTCGCGCCGGTGGCTCGGCGCGCGCAGAGGCCCCCCTCGGCCCGCGAGGGCGCGCGGGCGCCGGGGGCGAGGCCCGCGACGCTCTCAACGAAGGGCTCGCGAGATTCTCACCAAAGGGAGACGTGGATCCCAGGTCCCCAGGCCAGACTCGTGGCCCTGCCTCCGCCCGTCCCCCCTTCAAGCGCATGGCCGAAAAACTTGCGATTGCCGTTGCTGCTGCGCGGCCGCTCGCCCGCGCCCCCGCCCGCCTGCGCCGCGGCGTCCAGCGGGGCGCTGCGCCGTGGCGCCGCGGACTCGAGCTCGTCGTGGACGTGGATGAGTCTGTGGTCGTCCTACGATGTGGAGCTCGAGCAAGAGCGTGGAGCGCGCGGCCTCGACGTAGATTATAATCGCCTTCCCCAGCCTGCGCGCCCAGTGGACCGAGCGCGCGCTTGAACATATAGGCGTGCCTGACACGCGCCGGGGCGCAATGCTTAAGTGATAGATGAAGCTCATGATCTCGGTTAGGTGCGGGGTCAAGCCTGAAATGTTAGGTGCGGGGTCAAGCATGGCTGCCCGACGTCTGGAACTTTCTTCCCGGCTTGGTTTGATCCTGTTCATCGGTATTTCCGCAGCTTCCCTGACTCTATGCATGATCCTGAGTATCCCCTTCTCGGCTTCGCCGACGATCTAGCGACGGTCGCGATCAACCTGCCCCGCGCCTTCCCCGAGGTTCTCCGCGGGCTCTCGGGGCAATCCAAATGCGATGGGCTTCGCATTCGCCCCGCCGGAATGCAAGTCATTACCCTCTCGGAAGTCCGGCCGAACCTGATTCGCGCGGCATTCTGGGGGCGGGGCCCGAAGATGTCGATGTCTAATTTCCAGGACCGCGGGAAGTATCGCGGCTCGATATTGGGGGCTGGTTCGGCGGGGCTATCTTGGAACAGGCCAGCTGCGTCACTTACGACTCGCAGTCGTAATTTGCAGTCGTTGGGTCGGTCTTGCTGTAAGAATATTCAAGTTCATCACGTCCACTGCCTTTCTGCGCGCAGCCAAGTTGCCCGAGTTCTTCCGCCCGCGGAGGTGGCTCTGCGCCCTGAAGCCAAGGCGATTCCCCGTATAACTCGTGGTCCTCACATTGCCATCGCGCCCATCATGGCGCGCGATCTTGCGAGCGCGGGCGTCGGCCAGTAGATCCGCCAGATCGCCCCGCGGCGCAAAGCTGCCGCGCGTCGCGCACGTTGCGAGCGCGCCGCCGCTGAAAAGGGCGGGAGGAGAGCGGCGGAAGCTTTGGCAGGAGATGGTTGGCCGGTCGCGCATCGGAATTCGATTCTGGAGTTCCTTGGGTTTGCGTGGGCGGCGGAGCTCGCGGCGATGCCGTGCGCGCCTGCTCGACCCTTCGACGGCGGGGCCCCAAGCAAAAGCTCTTCGTTTACATTGTGCCCATCGCCCTCCCAGCGAACGTCGTTCACGACTGCTGCTCGGGAAGGATTTGATCGGCAGCTCGTGCGACTGGGGCTCGTTGGTCGCGAACCCCCCGTGCGTCCTCGCCCCGACCCTCAAGATTGCGTCGGGTTGTTGAAACGCGCCAGCCGAATATAGACCGGGGGCCCAAGTTTGCTCATCTGGGTGCGGGGCTATGGGTGGCGATGCTCCTGCACTTTCGCTGCGATGCCTCGTCGGACGGCTTTTAGTCGTGGGCCTCCGCCCCCACCGCCCCGCGAATTGGGCCACTGGTGATCCTAGCTCCTAGATTTTTGGCATCCCGCCTGATCTTTTTTTTTTTTCTCTCTCTCTCTCTCTCGCCCCCTCTCTCTCTTTCTCTCTCCCTCTCTCTCTGCTCTGTCTCGACGGCTACTACATGGGGAGCCTGTCTGGATTGAAGTTCAGCGAGGGTCCGCGGGGTGGGTGTTCGACTGTTGGAACGGATTGCTCGCTCCTCCATCCTTTTCACTGATCAGCAATTCCTCCTTGTCGCACCTCCAGACGCGTCGGTCGGGCGTGCCGGGTGTTCCGCCCGAACAATCCTCAACATTAATGATCATGAAACTTGATATTCTCACTTGCTTCAAGGATGGAGGGCGGATGCCTTGAAAATGCGTCTCTTGCCGAGGTGCTGCGCACATTCTTCTTGCAGCTGTGCAGCCGCTTCAAGGCCGGGTGGTTTTCAAAATGTGGTTTGCGCCGTTGCACATGTGTTTCAAAAGTTTGCAGCGGCTGCAAAGACTGAAGGCGGACAGCTTTCGGAATGTGGTTCTCGCCGTGCCGCCGCGCATATTCGTTTCAAGCGTTTACAGGAGTTTCAATGACTCGCATAGCTGAAATCCCAATAATGGTGTTTTGGCACGATTTAACACTATTGGGGCGCAGCGGTCATGTTTATTCGCGGGGTTGAAGTCCCAGGAATGATGCTCTGGCACGATTCGGATTTTCCAAATAGTTGCCTTCCAACGGGGCATTTCCCGCAATGAAGATACATTCCGATAGCAATATGTGAAGATTGACCTTGGAGGGAAGATTGCTTGCAACATTGTTGATGCGTCATGGTTTTATACTGGTCCTCGTCGTCGTAGTCGTCGTCCTCCTCCTCTTCCTCCTTCTCCTCCCCCTCTTCCAAAAACACGCATTGTGAGGCATGTGTTGGACACCTTTTCCGGCGCATCGATGTAGAATAATGGCGCAGCCCCCCCCCACAGGCAGGGTAAACGGCCCGCAGTTTCCAGTCGATGCTCTGTCCGTTTGCTTTGTGGCTCCCGAGGCCCTTCTCCAACGATCCTTTGTCCACCATCGAGTCTCATGGTTCGTGCGTGTTCTCGTCACGATCACGAGTCGTATCGCAGCGACGCCGACGAGTGTATTTCTTTGTTGTGTTCGCGTCTAGTGGGCCTCAGGCTGGGGAGCTCCAGAGATTCCAGAATTTTCTCAGGCACCGCCGTGTGCACCAGTACCAGACCTCTGCAGCGGTCTGGCGTGCGACCCGCCAGTCGCTCTCGCTGGCTTCGTCGCGTGCATCGCTGCAGCGCCTCCGCGCTCGCCGTTCAGATAGACGACTCATGGTCCCGACCTTGCGCAAAGAATGACGCCCGCGTCGACCCCTTGGCAGCCAGACGGCGACAGTTTCCTAGCTGCCCTCCCGCCTTCCACGGGGGACCTTGCCGCAGGCCTCCAATTCGAGGGGACCGGTTCGCTCTAAGGAGTTCCCCGAGCCCTTCCAGGAGGCCGTGCCCGCCGCCTTGGCCTCCTTCATGCGGGCCCGGCCTCGGCGGCCGTGTGGCGCACACGGGCTTTCACCAGTCCCCCCTGGCGGCACCGCGCAGGAGTGGCCTGGTCGCCCCCGGACTTCGCAGACCACGTGGCGGCCCCGAACGGCACCGCCCCGTTGCTGGTCGGCGGGCGCAGCATGACCAGCACGCAGGACGTGGCCGCAGGCGCCTGTGCTTCTCCTCGTCCTCCAGCTGTCCTCAGGCCTGCAGGGTCTTGAACGATTCAGCACGGAAGTTTTGTTGCCATCTCCCGCGTCAGGGGGCCGTTTCTGGGCCCAGGGACCGTCAAGAAGCGAACCCGGGGTCCGAAATAGTCGTCGCGGGGGAGGGGCCAGGATTCATGCGGGCCCCGCGCTGAGCAGAAAACACGACATCGGAGATCTGTGTGTTCAGGGTAGCTCGTTCGAGGCCGTTCTGCAGCGCCCTCGGAGCGCTTTGGAGCGGTAGCGGCGCCGCCCACGTCCTCCACGCCGGCTCTCGGAGATCCCCGAGGTACTTCGAGTACGTGCCCGCAGCCTCCCCGCTCCGTCTACGCCTTTCCCGCCCCTCCCCCCCTCCGCCTACCTCCGCAGAGGCACCACACCTTGCCCTGCCAGGCATGGGGCGTCCCCCCATGCTCCGCCTCCCCCTTCGGCCTATCCTCCACATGCGGCACCGTGCGGCACCACACCATGCTTGGTCAGGCACGGGGGTTGTTGTTGTTGTTGTTGTTGTTGTTGGTGGTGGTGGTGGTGGTGGTGGTGGTGGTGGTGGTGGTGGTGGTTGTGGTGATTGTGGTGGTGGTGGTCACAGTTCCCCCCCCTCGCGCGGGCTCCAAGAAGTCACATTAAGAACCAGAGCACATAATCGTAACACCGGAGACTGCAAAACTGGAACTGGATGGAGAAGGGAGCAGCAAGCCTAATCCGCGGAGCCTGATGGCCCCGCAAGGGGGCCGGCGGATACATACATATATATAGAGAGAGAGAGGGAGAGAGAGAGAGAGAGAAAGAGAGAGAGAGAGAGAGAAAGAGAGAGAGAGAGAGGGAAAGCGAGAGAGCAGGATAAGGGAAGACGGTGAGTAGGAGAGTAAGTGGGATGAGGGGGGTGACGAGGAGGAAGGGGCCCCCTTCAAGGGGAGAGGGGGATGTGAGTTCGAAGGAGGAAGGTGAGAAGGAACACGTGGATGATGAGGAGTAGGGGATTCGTGCGTCGTGCCATCTGTCGCAACCTCTCGCTCACTGTTCCGATACAGGTGGACACAAGCTCGACTCCGCCATGAGTGTTCTGACGTCCCTGCTCGTGGAGCGGGGTGGGGGCGATAAGAGTCTTGGAGCACAGCCAGAGTCGCTGAGAAGCTGTCCTCCGGCTTGTGTTCCCGATGCTGCGCAGCCCTTGCAGTCAGCCCGCATAGCAAGGATGGGCAACCTTCCCCAGGGTATCCTTGCATCCTTGCCTCCTGGGTTCACCCTCGGCCACGTTTGTTGACTGCGCCCCGCTCGAAGAGCTTCGAGATGGCCTTCCGAGGCCCGTGCATCCTCCTTATCGCGCGTCCTGACGATACGGGTTGACTGCGTTAGCCCCTGCTTGGCTACACGAGCCGTGTCTGTGTGCTGGAGACTGTTTTTTTCCAGGGTCCCGCGATAACCCGGGTTATCGGGCTTGCCCCCCCCCCCCCCCCAGGATAAAACCTAACCTTGCCGGTTGTGCAGGTCCAGTGCTGGGGGGCGCGGGCATATGCAGAGCTGCAGACAGCGCGAAGGTTAGGTTATCGGCAGGTCCCCTCCTCCCCCCCACCCTGGTAACCCGTCTTATCGCCGATTCCCACAAAAACGGTTTCCTGCCAGCGTCGGCTCCCGACGCTGGTCTTCCCACGGCCCCGCTCCCCCGCCCAAACTTCTGGAGGCTTGCGCCAGCTTCTTGTCCTCGATCGGCGCTGGGCCCCTGGCGGCGCCGCCGGCGCCGTCTCCCGCGCGCCTCGCGCGCCACTGGAGAGAGAGCCAGCACCGACGCACGAAATCCGCGCGGACCCCCGAAAGTTCATGGCATGTGTTTTGCTGCTATTCTTCTGCTGCCCCCACCGTCAGGGGAGGAAAGACCACCCAGGCCGGACGATTGGCGTTCACGAAACGGCCATTGGCGTTTACTAAGCAGCCCTGCCCTGTTGGATTCCTTCCTTGTGCGCGTTTGCTCCACGGCTTCGCTTATCGGGGCGATTACTATGGGGGTGGATGTGTTGACTTCTAGATCCAGCACCTACGCACGAAATCCGCGCGGACCCCGAAAGTTCATAGTGTGTGTTTTGCTGTTATTCTCTTGCTACAATAATCAACAAATAGCCCGGGGACGACGTTTTTAGCATTTGTTGTTTTTCTTTGGGGAGGGGCAGTTGGGGAGTTTTTTATATATACACACATATATATACATATATATATAGGTATGTGTATATATATCCAATCCTCCGAAATCCGCATGTAGGGGGGACGTGCCCGACCGCCGGCTCGGGTCCACGAGCCGGCACGGCCCGTGGAAGAGAAGTGGTAATCGGTGAGCAGGGCGGTTGCAGAGCTTCGTCGAGGTTGTCCTTCCTCCCTCGTCTGTGCGGCCTCGTGATCTGGCCCGCCACCGCTGCAGCCACTGCAGCACGAGCGATGGGCCTGTCTTCCACCACCGCCCCCATACATCGGAGGGGGGGAGGAGGTGCAGGATGAGGAGGAGAAAGAAGGGGAGGAGGAGGAGGAGGAGGAGGAGGAGGAGGAGGAGGAGGAGGAGGAGAAGGACGACGACCCCCTCCCCTTCCTACTTCTGGTGGTGGCGGTGGGAAACAAGCCCACCAACGAACACTTGAGGGCCTTGTACCTTCACCTCGCCATGTTCGACTGTATGGTAGGCTTGCGCCGCGTTGATGCGGCGTCGGCTCCAGCGCGGGCGATCAAGGATGTGCGCCGCCACAGGCTGGATTCGGCCGAAATGCAGTGATCTGCGCTATCGGAAAGGCGTGATCGTTCAAGGTCGAACGAGTCACGTGGTGCCAGAACCTGAAGTCCACGCCGACACAATTGCCCCCCGATGTTGGTCCGAGGATGCGCCGCCAGCCCTCGTAGCTTGAGGCTCAAGATAGGAAAGTGGGGAGCAGAGGCCTCTTCTTCTCTTGGGCACGGCCCGTGCATGCTGACCGCACCTCGTCCTCGGACCCGTCGCTTCGCCGCTCGAGCGGCGGCTTCTGCCCAGCACCAGAGCTCCTCCACTCCGACGTCGCCGCTGCATCGGCGAGGCGGTGCGACCCTCGGACCCCACCTGCTTCGGCGCAGAAGAGAAACGGGGCCGGCTGCGCGGACCATCCCGGGTCGGGTCACCCTGCCGCGCCCACCTTTTTTCCACGTGGTGCGCCCGCGTCAGTGGCTGGCCCCCCTCCTCTCTCTCGGGGGCGGAGAAGAGGAGGGTGATGACTAGGGGCAGGGGGGGGTGGATATCATGCCTCTTCTGATTTCATTACGTCCCTGGCCCCCCCGCTGGGCCGCGCACATGCCGCCGGCCATGATTTGCACCCCCCCCCTCTTGGATGATATTTCCCCCAGATTTCAGGGCGCCTCTTCTTATTTCATTACGTCCCTGGCCCCCCCGCTGGGCCGCGCACGTGCCGCCGGTCATGATTTGCACCCTCCCCTCTTGGACACCCCCCTCTTGGCCGCTCCCGGCTCTCCCTCCGTCGCCCACTTGCTCGGGCCCTTCCCAGGGGGCGGGTCTTCAGCAGGGCCTCCTGGGCGGGAGCCCGAGGTCTCCTGCGACCTCTTGTTACCAGTTTGAAGCACATCCCCATCCTTGTGCTTGGCATCACTTCACCTCGATGCCGATCTCCAGGATTGCCTCCGTTTCTGAGGGCGGATCCCTACGATTGCCCTCGCTTTTTGCTCGCCCATCTTAGGGGTAGGGATAAGTTCGAGGCTGGTTATCTTGAGCGGCGCGGGGTCCGGCGACCTCATCCTCGTGCGAGACCTGGGAGTCGACGGCCGGCCTCCCTCTTTTCGATGAGCGGGCAGTGCGCTGTCGGGTGAAGGCAACCGGGCGGGCCGAGGTGGACACGCGCGTGGCCGCGTGCCTTTCCAGCGCTCGGCCTCCTCTGACCACACCTTATGCGATGCTTAAGAAAACCTAAGTTTTCCGCCAGAGTCTCGTTTATTCTTAACGTTTCAATGTAAATCCCAAGATTTTGATAGAAGTTCTGGGTTTTATTCAATTTCTGAGACTATGACTTTCTTAAACCATGATTTCTTAAGCATTTCGCAGGGTGCAGGTGCTTTTGCGCTCCGCGTGCGCGTCTAGCCCGTGGCCGCGGGCACGCTCCGCACGACAGCCGCCGCCGTTTTGCTTACACCCTGCCGCCTCTGAGTGGCGCCTCGACGCTGCCAGACGCCCCGAGGGTTCGGAGGCCTCGTCGGAACGGCTGCCTTCTAGACGTTGGCTCCTTGGGTGTTCGGCGAGGCAGACGCGCCATGCGTTTTGGATGCGGGGCTTAGCGGCAAAACAAAGTAAAACAAATACGCCCTGAAGTGCCTGGCCCGAGCTCTGGAGCCCCTCTTTCCGAGAGCCGACGCCCGATCTTCTGCAGCCTCAGAGCAGGATCCCCCTGGGAGCCGAAGCCTCGAAGGCCTGGCACAGCAGACACACCGAGTGTGAAGCTGGCCTGCAAGCCTGGTGCCCATGTGAAGCTCGTGGGATGCCATGCTCCTCAGGTGTTGGACAGCATGTCTGCTCTTTTCGCTCCTTTGGGGCCTTTTCGGGGAGCCTCCTGGGGCTGTGTCGGGCCATCTTGGGGCTCTGTCTTGGGCCCTCTTAGTCAAGCAGTGGCGAAGCGTCCTGGCTCGTCCATAGCGCTACCAAACAATGTTCTAAGAATATGTTGTGGTTTCCACGAAATATTCTTAGAACATTTCTGGCGGAGTATGTCTTTCTTTTTTTTTGGTAAAAAAAACGCATCGGGCTTATGTTCTAAGAGCATGGTTTTTGTTATTTGAACATTTTTGGGTTCTAAGGAAACTTCGTGGTAGGACTATAGGAATACCGGGACGGTCGGTCCCTGCTCAACTTAGAGCCCACTGGGGCTCTCTCGGGCCATCTTGGGGCGCACCTGGGCCGTCTCGCGCCCTCGGACGCCGTCTTGGAGGCCTCCTGTGGTCCGTCTCCGGACCTCCCTCCCCCTCCCCTTTCCCCCGCCATGGCCCGCAAAGGCTCCCAGAAGGGACCGGCACCCCTCCTGTGGAGCCTCCAGGGCAGCCAGAATATGGCGCCAGGGAAGCAGGGCCGTCGCTTTGGGCGTCCCTCCGTCCTTTCCCTTGAACAATATGTCTATGTACAATGTAATAATTATCATAATAATAGTAGTAATAATGATAATGATCATATTAATAATACTCATAATAATAATCATAATAATAATCTTAATACTAATAATCATAATAATAATAATCATAATAATAATCATAACAACAATAATAATAATAAAAATATTAATAATCATATATATATATATAATAATACTAATACGAATAATAATAATAATGATACTAATAATAATACAACCTGAGCACGTCAAATCCTCCCCTTCCCGTCCTCTTCCATCCCCTCCCGTCCCCGACTCCCGAAGCCGCCGGCTCCCGGGAAGGACCTCGAGGAGGAGCTCTGGGAGCAGGGCGCCGTGGGCGGAGCGGCCGGAGGCCCCGGCATTGACGCCCCGCAGACGATTTCCGATTATCAGAGCCCCGAATCATCAGGGGTAACTCGGGTCAGGGCTAACTCGGGTTCGTTTTTCGGGAGTCCGAACCCGAGTTACCCCGGACCCGAGTTACCCCGGATATTTCGGGCGTCCAGAGCCCCGAATCATCAGGGGTAACTCGGGTCAGGGCTAACTCGGCTTGGTTTTTCGGGATTCCGAACCCGACTTACCCCGGACCCGAGTTACCCCGGATAGTTCGGGCGTCCAAATTTCCGATTACTTCCGAAAGGTGTTCGATTGTTTTCGAGGGTTTCCGGAGATTCCCGGAACTTCCCAGAGCTTCTCGGACGTCTTCGATTGCCGATGACTTTCTGAAGGTATTCGATTGCTTCAGAGGGTTCTGGAGAATCTTGGAGGCTTCCAGAGGTTCTCGGACGTCCTCGACCGTCGTCGTCGTCGTCGTCGTCGTCGTCGTCGTCGTCGTCGCTTCGTCGTCGTCGTCGTCGTTGTCGTCGTTGTCGTCGTCGGCATGGTCGTCGTCCTCGTCCTTGTCGTCGTCGTCGTCGTTGCCGTCGCCATCGCCGTCGTCGACGCCGTAGCCATCGCCGTCGTCGTCGTCGTCATTGTCGTCGTCGTCGTCGTCGTCGTCTCCGTGTCGTCGTTGCCGTTGTCGCCAGAGCTTCGCCGCCAGCGTCGTCGCCGACGATGCTCGACGATGTTCCCAACACGGCGGCGCTTCCACTCATACGGCTGGGCCCCCAAGGGTACCTTCCCCAGGATGCACAAGCACATCCAACAAGCACGAAGATCCCGAGGGCAACCTCCCCAAACCGACCTCGATCTTACACCTCGGTCCGACTGTCTACACTTTGTGGTTGCCGATGCTCTCCTCCCCCCCTCCCCTCCACGACGATGTTCGACGATGTTCCCACCACGATATTCTACTCTACTTCCGAACCCTACGGCTGGGTCCCCCGAGGTGTTCGCCCCGGCGCCGCCCGTGCGCGCCCCGCGGGCGCCTCCTGCCTCGGCTGAGTCCGGCTGAGCTCGCCAGGGGTTCTCGCTCGGAGTCGCCGCCTGTGAGGGGGCCTCGTGGGCACCGCGGCAAGGAGGGGGGTGATATGCCTGGGGCTGTGGAGGGCGATCAGTGGAGAGGAAGCATGCTCCCAAATAATTTCCAGGTGTCTAAAGGATGTGTCGCACATGCTTTGAAGGATGTTTAAAACATGCTGGAGACATTGTTTATATCATGTTGTACCCATGTTAAGCACATCTTTAACTCGATGATCGGATGCTTAGAGTGTCCATTGTCATGGCATCCACGAGACTAGGGGTGGGGTGGATATCATGGCGCGGGCCATGATTCCTCCTCTTCCTCCTCCTCGCCCTTCTCCTCTTCTTCTTCTTATTATTCTTCTTCTTCTTCTTCTTCTCGATCGAGGTCGATGCCCGCGGCGGTTCTGGCCGCCTTTCCAGAGATTGTTGTTTGAACGGTTTTTGCTTTTGATCGGTTTCGGTCTCCGGTGGCCGCTGCTGGGCCCCAGGATGTTCAAAACCGGACGGACCTGGGGCGCGGATTTGCATCAGCGCTCCGGGGGAGAGGTTCGAGGAACGAACTTGTGCGAAGTTGCCCGTCGGACTTGGGAGGTTTGTTGTGGTTCGGGGGGTCCCGGGCCCTTCCCCCGTCGCCGCGGCGGGGTGCATTTGGGAGTACGATTGCGACTGGACTCTGGGAAGGGTCTGGGGCGGGGGGCCCATGGTGAGCGATTTCTGCGCGGGGAAAAGAGAAGAATGTTGTTGCAGAGTCTTAGTCTTTTCGTTTTTTTGTGGTTTTCGTTGTCTAGGGGCCGCCTCCGTGCATTTAGGCGCCCGTGGCGAAGTGCTCGAATCCTCCTTTCGGGTTTCCCTTCTTACCCTCCTCTTGGGGCCGTCCGGGGGCTCTCCCTGGTGGCTTCGGGGGCCCTGTTGGGGCCCGTTTGTGCCGTCTGGGAGCCTTATGGGGGGCATGCGGGGGCTTGTGGGGTGATTTTTGTAGCTTTTTGGGCTGCTGTGGGACCCGTGAAAGCTCAAGAAGCGAACATGTTAAATTTAGACGTTTCCCTTCGGGAAGGGCCCGGGGTTTGGTTTTGCCGGGCCTCTTGGGACGCGTCCTGGTGGCGTGTTGGGGTGCCTAGGGGGCCTCAGGGGTCAGCTGGAAGCAATTGCGGGCGCCTGGGAGCGATCTTCCCACGAGTCGTAATTCGCGCTCTGGAGCCGTCGGGGGAGCCTTGCGGGACCCATGTTGGCACTTTTGGGGGGCCGTCTTGGGTCGGTTTGGTGGCTTCTGGGGCCTCTTGGCGCCAATGCGGGCTGTCCTGGAGTCCTTTGGGGAGCCGTGTTGGGTCATATTATTGGCTCGATCTGGAAGGCTTCTTGGGCTGTTGCGGGCCTCGTGAAAGCCGAAGAGGCGCACGTGTTGGAAACGTATGTTGCCCATCGAAAATGACACGCCATTTGCTTCTGGCAAGCCTCTTAGGGCGTGTCCGGGTGGTTTCTTGGGGCGTCTTGGGGGCCTGTAGGACCGCCAAGAGGCAATCGGGAGCGCCTTGGAGCGATCCCTCGACGACTCGTAGCCCTCGTGGGCCGTCCAGGAGGCCCTCGGGGATGGGGGCCCTCTTGGCCCATTCTGGGGTCCTCTTGGGGCCGTCCTGCGGCTCTCCTGGGCCGCGGCGGTTGTTTTGGGACCTTCGCGGGGCCCTCGCTGGCCGTCTTGGAGCCTTCCTGGGGGCCTATTGGGTTGCCTGGGGTCGCTCTTGGAGGCTTCTTGGGCCGTTGTGGGCCTCGTGAAAGGCCAAGAGGCGAGCGTGTTCAAAAAATCTGTTTTGTCTGTAGGGGATGGGACTATTTTTGTTTCTGGAGGGCGTCTTGGGGGCCTCTTGGGGGCGTCTGACGAGGCGGAGGAGGAGGAGGAGGAGGAGGAGAAGGAGGAGGAGGAGGAGGAGGAGGAGGAGGAGGAGGAGGAGGAGGGGGCCACCCAAGGGCGTGCGGGACTCTCGTGGGGGCCTCCTGGCGGTCTGCTGGCGGTGTCGGGGGGTCATCGCAGGGCGGAGGGCTCGAACTGTCAGTTCACGCTTCCACTCTCCTGGCCGTCGTGGGCCGTCTTAGGGCCGCTTTGGAGCCATCTTTGGGGCCCTCTTGGACCATCTTGGGTAGTTGGAAGGCCTACCATGTGAGAGCGCTCATCTCTTTCAAATTTGTTTTGGGAATACTAGATGCTTGCCGCCTGGGGCCCTCCTGGAGATCCTCTTGGAGCCCTCTTGGGCCGCGTTAGGGCAATCTTGGGTGTATTGGACTAAGTTGCCGACAGAGGGCCAGACTGGCCCGACGAGGGTGGACGAGCTCCGAAAGGAGGTGAAGCCGGTCCCGACTGGGAGCCCATGCCACTCGAGAGGGCGCCCCCCACCCCCCTCGAGACCCTTCCCTCGCGGGGAAGGAATCAAAGAGAAGGGCCTCTTCTTCGACGCGAGTATGGCTTCAAACGGTGTCCCTCGGGCTGGCGAGCTTGCGTAGGACCGCCCCGACTGGCCGCAGTGAGGGGGGAAAGGCTTCGAAGGGATGGAGGTTAAGCCCCTCCCGCGACAAACCCCGCAGGACGACCACCCCAAGAATCCCACCCCGTGATTCTCACTTACACACGCCGACGGGGTCGCAAGTTTATTGCGCAGGGCTTTGGCTTTGCGTGTGCGCGTGCGTGTGTGTGTGTGTGATTGTGTGTGATATATATATATATATATATATATATATATGTGTGTGTGTGTGCGTGCGTGCGTGCGTGCGTGCGTGCGTGCGTGTGTGTGTGTGTGTGTGTGTGTGTGTGTGTGTGTGTGTGTGTGTGTGTGTGTGCGTGCGTGCGTGCGTGCGTGCGTGCGTGCGTGCGTGCGTGCGTGCGTGCGTGCGTGCGTGCGTGCGTGCGTGCGTGCGTGCGTTGTGTGCGTTGTGTGAGTGTGTCTGTGTATGCGTTGCTTGCGTGCGTGCGTGCGTGCGTGCGTGCGTGTATGTGTGTGTGTGGCGAACTGCTCTCCGCTATTATTCCGCAGGCGCTTCATGTGGCTTCTGTTTGGGCCGCATGTCTCTGCACAGCTTTAGCGAGCGTCTCCCCGTACGCGCAGCATGGCACGAGGGAAAGGGATCCGGGTCCCGTGGAGGGCCCCGAGATCCCGAAGACAGCGAAACACATCCAGATTTTCCTTCCTCTTCCCATCCCCTCCACCAGAGATGCTCCCGGACCTCCCTCGTGGGGCGCTCGCACCAGAAGCTCGAGGCGTATCCAGCCTTCGAGCCCCTATGCGGAACAGTCGCTCCCGTCATCGTTGCCGTCATCGTTGCTCATGTTAGAAGAATGCCGTCATCGGGACGATGTCGGTGTCATCGCTGCCGCCAGCTCCGCCACGAAAAAATACACACAGACACCCTCCAATGGATTGTCCTTGGGTTTTAGGGGAGGGTGGCGGTGTATAAATCACCACTGAGAGCCAGCGACTTTATCCACCGTCACGCTCCCTGCAGGTACATGCAAAGTTCGTCGGAGGATGTCGATGCCCCTATGTCTATGTATTGTGAAGGTCTTACGGCCAGTGCCTTCGACCCTGAATGCGGGACCTCCCCTGGGACCCTGGGCGTTTCCCGGGACCCCGAGGCCAGGCCAGGAAGCGGCTTCCCTAAGACTCAATGACAACGTTCCCTTCTTCCATTGTTCCTCAGTTCCTTTTGGGATTGACGACGACAACGACGACGACGACAACGACGATGACGACAATGACGCCAGCGTCTTCCACACGCTGAAGGGCCAGCGTATTTTCGCGGCGTGTCATCGCTGCCGTCATCGCTGCCGTCGCCCGGCCGGAGGCGCGGGGGCGCGGCTGGGGCCGAAGCCGAAGCCGGTCGTGGCTGCCGAGGTGCCGAGCCCCGAGGCGCCCAGCTCTCCTGCGCTGCGCGGCGTCGCTGCGGCCGCCGCGAGCGTCGCGGCGACCCCCCGCTCTCTCCGGGGTTGCTAAGCCTGGCATCGCTCCGACGTGTGCGTTTTTTCCTCCTGCTCCTCCTCCTCCTCCTCCTCCTCGTCCTCCTCCTCCTCCTCCTCCTCCTCCTCCTCCTCCTCCTCCTCTTCCTCCTCCTCCTCCTCCTCCCCGCGACCGCGGGCGCTGGGGAGGCGGCCGTCAGCCGGCCCCCTTGATGCGCGCGGATCCTCCTCCCTCTCCCTCTCCCCCCCTCCCCCTCCCCCTCCTCCCCCTCCCCCTCTCACGACAAGCAGAGGCAGGCGATCGACAGGCCAGCGTCGAGCCCCTGGCCCAAGGTGCCCCTAGCTTTTCGCTCGATCTTGGAGCCCCTGGGGGCCCACTGGGCCTCGTGAGGGGTGCTCCGGAGGCTGCGGGGGCCTCCTTGGGGAAATCCTGGAGGCACCGTGGGCTAGGGGCTAAGGGCACTTCTGGCAGCGGCCGACTCTTGCGCGTTGCGCGGCGCTGGCCTGTGGATCGGGGCCGCCTCTGCCTGTCGCGAGAGGGGGGGGAGGAGGATGGGGGAGGACGGGGAGGAGGAGCGGGGCGGAAGCGGGCAGGAGAGCAGGAAGCAGGAAGGAGCGCGGGCGCACCCAGGAGCATGGCAACGAGGGGTATGTGTGTGGGGGGGGGAGCAGGGAGGAGCAGGACGAGGGGGAGCGAGAGGAGACGCGGGGGCCCCCCGACCTTCAAAGGATTGGAAACGTCCCGACCGAGTTGATTTTCGAGCTTCGGCGGCTGGACGCTGTTCGTGGTCTCTGGGGCCATCAAGGAGCCGTCCAGGATGAAAAACAGGTCTCTGGGAGGTACGGCCACGTTGTGAAAAGGCGGCGTCGAAGGTCTTGGGCATGAGCGGGAAGAATTGACCGGAGAGGACCCGACGTCACTTGTCGAGCGGATGGCATGGGGGGCAAGAAACGTGGGGGTACCTATGATTGCACGAAAGCGGCCCTACACAAGAGGCCTTAACGGGCACTTAACTGCCACTGCGGGCTCAAAAGGTGCACGTAGGTGCACGTTCCTTCACACCCCGCGTTCACTGCCCCCGCCGTTAATCAATACCCGAACCTTGGCGCGTAGACGTCGTGGTGCGAACGCCCTATGCCAGGAGGGACTGGATGGGGGAGGAGTGGGGCAGGGGGTTCTGGAAGGGGGAGGACGAGACTGGGAGCGAGGGCAGGGAGGAGGAGGGGGGGGCGCGGTGGGTGACGGAGGAGCGCGGGCCAGGAGCGAGGGCGGGAGGAACAAGAGGGTGGCGGGGGCTATGTGACGGGGAGGGCCCCGAATGTTTCCCGATTGGGGCCCACAATGGCGTGAACATCGTTCACGGGACCTGCCAGAAACGCGCGTTGGCCCGACCGCGCATGCGACGGCCATTCGGGCGACACGCGCGCGCGGGGCTGCAGGAGCCCCCCCAGCTTGCTCCTCGCACCCACGCGACGCCTGCGCACGCGCGCGCCCGCGCTGCTCGCTTCGAGGGCGTCCAGGGACCCAGGCCCTCGGACGTTTGAGAGTATGGATTCTGTGCAGGTTCGCCGCCCTGCCCCATGTCGAGGCCGCTCCTTGGCGAGGCCCAGGGCCTCGGGACTCGAACAACTCGAGCCGTCGCGGGGTCGGAGGCCTGGGCAGACCGTTCCTGTGGCCTGCGGCGCCGAGCACGGCGCCGGTGCGGCGGCCAGCCTTCGGGGGGCAGCGCGAGCGACTTGCGCCCCTGCAGCCGAGGGCGGCGAGAGAGGAGCGCCGGCCGCAGGGAACGGGGAGGGAGGGAGGGAGGCCCTGGAACGTGCCAGCGTCGCCGGGAGGGCCGCGGTTTTGGAGACTGCGCAATGGGGGGGTGCTGATTGGGAGGGCACCGAAGGCTGCAGAAAAGAGGGGCCGTCCGGGGCCCCTGAAGGGGCCTTCTAAGGCTCAGAAGCGGGCCCCGGGGCCCGAAAACAGCAACTGTTCTCCCCACCCCATTCATCGCCCCCCCAGTGATTCGCGCCCAGCGACATCTGCGGTTGACCCAGACAAGCGTCGCGAAGACATGGCGGTGGGGGTCGCAGTGTTCGGCCTCTGGGAGGCCGCTTCCAAGCTCCGGGGCCGTGAAGAGACGACTTCTGGATGGGAAGCCCGCCACAGGGAAGACCCAGGGAGGAATTGACAGACAATCCGTTGGAGGTTTTGGCAGGCTGAACGTCGATGGCTCGAGTCCGCCCTACTTCCGATTCGTGTGTTCGTGGCCGCCAATGCGTCGCCTTCGCGGTGCCCAGAACAGGGAACATGTTAGAGACGCGTGGACATAATTCGGCTATCATGTATTGTTTAATAGGCGTGGGGGGTGATGTAGATTGAGGCTCTCCTTCGCATCTGTGGGTATGTGGATCGCGAGGGGATTGGGTTTAGCGCCCGCGGTTGGGGGGGGAACGGGCCGTCGGGCGGGGTTGCATGGGATGTGTTGTGTGTGATTGCGTGTGTATGTGTGTGTGTGTGTGTGTGTGTGTTTGTGTGTGTGCGTGCATGCTTGATCAGCTACTGGGAGTACACATCATGCGCTCTCTCTGGTTATGCAGCACGATGAAGAAAAGACGCTTTGCCTCTTCCAGGTGTCGGCCCGGGCCGACAAGCTGGACAATGCGCTGAGCAACCTCACGAGGCAAGAGCCCGCTGCGCGACCGCTGGGTGTGAGATCGACTACACGTAAGAGTGACCTTTCGCCGGAGTGACCTTTGGTGCGGGCCCAATGGGGTCCCCCGATCACCGATTGCGATGCGATAGTTGCGTCTCGCGCGCTCGTTTTTGGCCCCCCGCGGCCCCCCCAAGAGCCGCGCACCAAAGGTCACTCTTACCCAGGGTCACTCTCATGTGCAGTCGATGAGACCCGCCCTGAGCTGCACGACCGCTCCCCGATCGCGCTCCCTGTTGACCTCTCCGCTCCCGCTGCCCGTGCTGCTGATGCCCGCGCCTCCGCGCGCCGTGAGAGACTCGCGACGCCACGCTGCTCTCGCTCGGCCGCTGGGTGCCCTCACCGGTGCTCGCAGGCCTGGAGACTGACACCAACACCAATATCGGCGGTATTCCTCCACCGAGGGAAGAAAGCTCCCGATCTCGGCGATGGTGGTACTATTCTGGCTTCCGAGGTGGCCGAAATAGTACCACCAACACCGACATCGAGGACCATCTCCCCCCTGTTGAGGCAGCCCCCTGTCTTGGTGTTGGTGCCCATTTCCAGGCCTCCAACAGTGCCCCGGACCATCCGAGACAGCTCGGGACGAGGCGGGGCCTCCTAGCTGGGGTCCGAGTGGATGGGGTCGGAGGACCGCGCCGCACCGCCGACATGTCGCCGATGCTGCGCGATGCGGATCCCGATTTTCTCCGCGCGGGCGTCGCCGATGCACCAGCGACCTCGCAGGTGCATCGCCGATGCATCGCCGATGCATCGTCGATGCATCGGCGATGCGGTTCGATGCTCCGGCCCCGTCTACGAGGACCCCATCTGGGCGGACTCTGGGCCCAGGGGGGCAGAGGCCGAGACCTCCGCAGGGCACCCTGCGCGTCCCGACGAGCGCCGAGGACGGGGGGGGGCCTCCCCCCCCGACGACGCCGTGTGGTCGTTTTCTTGTGCATCGTTTTGCCGATCGGGGCGGGCCCTCGCATCCCTCCGCTGCTTTCCCCCCCCCCCCCACCCGCGTGGGGAAGATCTTGGCTGTTTTTGGCGCCTGTCTCGAGCAGGTGGGGCCTCCCCCAGCGGACGCACTGTTCCAAACAGTCGCACTCAGCAGAGGTCCGGAGCCAGACCCCCCTCGCTCTCCCACGCCCCTCTCCGCCCAGTGTCGAAGGGTCCCCCGGAGGTTGAGATCCCGTCAAGCCTGCACTGAATCAAGATTTGCCAGGAATCACTGCGAGATGACCCCCCACAAAAATAGTGCATCATCCTTCATCGGGGAGGGGCGGAAGGGACACAGCAGGGAAAAGATAGCGCATCATCCTTCGTCGAGGAGGGGCAGAAGGGACGCAGCATGTAACACATCAGCGCCGACCAAGACGACATTCGCTGCTGGCGGAAGCGCCCTTTGCGCGCGGTGGTTGGCCGCGGCGAGTCCCCCGTTGGGGCCGTCGGCCAGGGTGGCGCCCCCCCACGGCCACTGTTTTTGGAACTGTTGTTAAGTCGCGCGTGCCCCCCTACAGGAGGAACGCTCGAGAAGAGTCAAAACATAGTGTGGGGACGATTTTTGTCCTGTACTGTGTCTGGTTCTTTGTTGTACTATGTTTTTAAGTTGTTCTCCCACACCCGCCTGTAGCCTAGACATCCGACGTCTCGATTTTTTCGAGACGCGGGCCCCCGACCTCCCGACCACTTCCCTGGGACCGGTTCTTCATCCCGAGTCGTTTTTTGACGGTCCCGAGGCCCGGCAAGGGCCCCCAGAGGTCAAAAACGACGAAAAACCTCCGTCTCGATTTTTTCGAGACGCCCGATATCTGGGAGGAGGACATGCCCGACCTAAAACGGTTGGCCTGCTGCAGGTGGGCGCTGACCAGCACGTCGATCGATCGGGGATCAGGCTCCGGATGCCGTGGTCGGCGTTGATTCAGGAGGGAAAGAAACACACAGACACAATTAATCCTCGATTTCCCAGAAAATATGGGAAAATATGGGAAGTGGGGGGGAAGACAAAAACCCAGAAAATATGGGAATATATGGGGATTTTTTTATTTGTGTGTATTTATTTGTGTGTCCTGGGGCCCCTTTATTGATGGGGGGCGCGCGTCGATCTCGGCCGGGCCCCGGGGCCTTGGATGGGCCCCCGACGCCCGCTCGCGCCCCTGCGAGCAGCGCCGACGTCGAGAAGTCATGCCCTGCGCGCATACACCTTAGGCGATGCTTAAGAAAACTTAAGTTTTCGGCCAGAGTCTCGATTATTCTTAACGTTTCAATGTAGATCTTAAGATTTGAATGGAAATGTTGGGTTTTTTTAAAAAAAAATCTGAGACTGTGAATTTCTTAACCCATGATTTCTTAAGCATTTCGCAGGGTGTAGGATTTGGGGCCTCAGGGGACGTATCTCGGGGCTGACTGCTGCCCCCGCTCCTGCGCGGGAGGGATGTGCTGCATCGGGGGGATCGGCAGCGAGGCGCACAACTGCAGGGATCTCGGTGCCTGGCACGCCCATCATCACCTGGCAACCCGTTCCTTTGAAGCCTCCCCTGAGGGAGGCCGGTGCTGAGGGCGGTCGTAGGAGTATAATGTTCAAGGTGCGATGCGCTCCCAGGCTAGCCGCCTGCCTGTACCACACATTAATTTCCGTTACGCCTTAACGTATGGCATCTTTCACACGAAGGTGCGCGGGCAGAGGTGTAAGCTGCTCCTCGGGTGTCCCTGCTTGTGTGTCGCATTCTCTTCGCATGAGGGGTGGATATCATGGCGGGGCCATGATATTTCTCCAAATGTCATGCCGCCTCTTCTTATTTCAATACGCCCCGAGCCCCCCCTGGATCGCGCACATGCCGCCGGCCATGATTCGCGCGCCCCCCCTCTTGGGGCCCCCCTCTTGGCCGCCACCAAGTATTGAACCGTCTAGGCAGTATTTGCACGTCGGTAGCAAGCTTTGTCCTGCTTCCAACACTGCCGTCGGCCGTTCTGGTCGGACCAGATTGATTATTAGTTTGGGCATCGGGCAAACCTAATGCTCTCGCATGACGCAGCTGGCCAGCGTGGTCTTAGGTCCGCATGCGTGCGTTACGAACAGAAGATTTGGTGACCTAAGGTTACAATATTAGTTTGCACACGCGTTTACCTTGGAGATCACATGACAGCCAATTCTTCAAAACCGCCTCATACATCGCCGAGTCTCGCTCACGCATTCGTATTGTGTCTCGCAAAGGCTAGGTCTCTTCCACGCATGTACATGAAATTGCCTGAAGCTCAACCAGTGAGTGGAATCCAATGTGGACCACACGCAGTGGTTTCTTGCAGTCTACGCGGTGCAATCTAGGGAGTGCAGCCAATGTGGCGCAATCCAGGTGTCGCAATCCTTGTGGTGCAACCCTTGTGTTACAACGCAGAGCAATGCAGCGCAATATAAAGCAAATCGATGCAACGCACGGCAAGGCACTGCAAAGCAACGCAGAGCAAGGCAAAGCAAGGAAACACAAGGCAAAGCAAGGCAGAGCAATGCAATGCAGAGCAGCGCGAAGCAATTGAAAGCAATGCAAAGCAACGCAACACAATGCAAAGCAACGCAAACAAACGCAAAGCAACGCAAAGCAATGCAAAACAATGCAAAGCAATGCACAGCAGTGCAAAGCAATGCACAGCAGTGCAAAGCAATGCACAGCAGTGCAAAGCAATGCAGAGCAGTGCAACGCAAGGCCAAGCAACGCAATGCGAATGCAATCCAAAGGACTGCGACCCAATGCAACGAACTGCAAACTGATGCAAGCGGATGCAAGAATTAAAGCCATGCGCTGCGATTGTAAGACAAAGCCACGCAGTGCAACGCAATGCAGTGCAGTGCAAAGCAAGGCAAAGCAATGCCAACAAGCAATGCTTCGCCATGCGAATGCAGTGCATGGTGGCGCTGGGCTGCGACGGGAGGCGGAGCAGTGCAGAGCAACGCGGAGCAGCACACCGCGGTGCGATGGCAAAGCACCGCGGCGGCGCGCGGTGACGGTCGGCCACCGCCCGGCTGGACCGCCACGGGAGCTCAGCTACCAGCGGCGTCCGCGGCGGCGACGGGCGACCACATGTTGGCCGAGCCACCCCTGGAGCTCAGCACTTGCGGAAGCCAGCAGGACCCCCCAAGCCCAGGCAGTGCTCGGGGAACATTCTCGCGAGCATCCGCCCGCCAGCGCGTGCCTACGCTGTCTCGCATGGCCACAGACAGGCTCAGCCTGCAATGCATGCATGCACTGCCCGGCGTCTGGTTGGCACGCGGTTGGCACGCCGCGTGGATCTTCCTCCCCCTCCCCCCCGCGCCCCGCGTTTCTTACTGTTCTTCACCTTCTCCTCCCCCCTCCTTGTTCTCCGCTCATTCTCCTCCCAGTCTCCTCCTCCTCCTCCTCCTCCTCCTCCCTCCTCCTCCTCCTCCTCCTCCTCCTCCTCCTCTCCTCTCTCCTCCTCCTCCTCCTCCTCCTCCTCCTCCTCCTCCTCTTACCCCCCTCATCCCCATTCTCCTTCAACCCATCCCCTCCCCCTCCTCCTCCTCCTCCTCCTCCTCCTCCTCCTCCTCCTCCTCCTCCTCCTCCTCCCACTCCAACTGATTCCCGCCTCCTCTGAAGACAGCGCCGACGACGACGGCAACGACGACGCCGCCAGCGACGACGATGGACCATGACGACAGCGGCGGCGGCGACGGCTGCGGCGGCGGCGCCAGCGGCGACGCTGCTGGCGGCCTGCGCCTCCGCTCGGGGGGAGGGAGGGGCTGGCCCGAAGGCACCTGGCCGAGCTCGAGCGGCACCTCCGCGGGGGGCAGGCGGGCGCGGATGCGGCGACCGCGGCCCGCCGCGGGCGGTGGCGGTGGTTGTGGTGGTGGTGGTGGTCGTCGTCGTCAGCATCGGCCTCGGCGTCGTCGTCACCCTAATCGTCGTCGTCGTCGGCGCCGCCGTCGTCGTCGGCCTCTGCGTCGTCGTCGGCGGCGGCGGCGTCGTCGTCGTCGGCGTCGTTGCCGTCGGCGTCGACGTCGTCGTCGCCGCCGCCGCCGCTGTCGCTTTTTGCCTTTGGCGGCCACCGGCTGCTCGAAGTCTATCTTGGTGTCGGCGAATGTCTTGCGTTTTGCGATATACAGGAAGGCAATGGATGCGGCCCGACGAGGATGGGGTGGGGATGGGAGACGGGGAGTAAACGGGGGAGGAGGCGGAGGAGGATGAGGAGGAGTAGACAACGGGGAGGGATGAGGGATGATGCGGCGGAGGAGGGGGGAGGTGAAGTGGGATTGGTAATGAGATCTGTACATATATATATATACATGTGTACATCCGAATATATATATATAGAGAGAGAGAGAGCATAAGCAAAAACATAACAGCAAGAACTACATAAAGAGAGAAAGAGGACTAGAGAGACATATAGCAAGAACTGAAAACTAGAGAGAGAGAGAGGGACACACACACATATATATATACATATATATATGTAGATATACATAGAGAGAGGACCCCTACCAACGAAATGAATACTTATGCGCTTTCCCCGCAGGGTGAGGACGATAAGGCGGTCGAGGAGAGCAGGTGGAAGAGGTTGCTGCCAGGGAAAGTAGGGCGAGGAACATGGAGGAGGGAGGAGAGAGAAGGGAAGTAGGAACGAGATGAATGAGAGAAATGCGAGGAATGACAGGAACGCAGCGGCCGCCGCCGCCGTCGCCGTCGTCGTCGCCCGCTTCCGCCGCCGCCGGTTGTCGCCGCCGCCTTCGCCCTCGTTGTCGTCGTCGTCGTCGTCGTCGACGACGCCCTTGTCGTCTTCGTCGGCGGCGTCTGCGTCTTCTTCTGTAGATGAGGAGGACGACGGACGAGGAGGTGGGGGAGGGGGAGGGGAGGGGAGAGGAGGAGCAGGGACAAGAAGGACATTGCGGAGGAGGAAGAGGGGGAAGAGCAGACTAGGGGGAGGGAGGCTCGAAGAGGAGGGAGGAGAAGTGCGAGAAGTACCCAGGGGGAGAGCGAAAGAGATGCGCCTATCTCGCTTGAGGATGAGAGAGTGGAGGAGGAGAGCAGAAAGAGGATCTGGGCAGGAGGAGGTGGAGGCCGAGGAGGAGGAGGAGGGAGGAAGGAAGGGGGGGAAGAGGAGGAGGAAGAGGATGAGGGGGAGGACGAGGAGGCGGAGTATAAGGAAGAGGGAGGAAGCAGGAGAGTGGAAGAGGGGGAGAGAAGGAGGAGTTCAAGGAAGGGGGGAGCAGAGGCTGCATGTCTGGTTCTGAGGACGGGGGCGGGAGCTGCCGAGTCGCCGCCGTTGCCGCTGCCGCCGGTGGCGTCTCCACCGCCGCCCTCGCCCTCGCCGCCGTTTGCGCCGCCGCCGACTGACGACGACCACGACGACGACGACGACGACGACGGCGACGGCGACGACGACGACGACGCCGAGGACGCCGGCCGACGACCGCCGACCGACGACGACGCCCGTCGCTCGCCGCCGTCGTCGCTGCCGCCCGCCCAGTCGCCCCGCGGATCCTCGGTGGCGCTGGGAACGCCGGCCAGCGCGGCGCCCGCGCCGGCTCTCGAGGGGGCCAGCGGCAGGCCGCCCCGGCGGGCTTCGTCGTCGTCCCTGTCTTTGTCTGGCCCTCGTCGTCCTCCGCTTCCACCTTCTGTCATCCGCCGCGTGCGCCTCCCCCTTGGGAAGCGGAGCAGGAGGTGCTGTCCGAAGGCGGAGGGGTGATGCCGATGTTGATGATGTTGATGATGGTGGTGATAGTGTCAGTGCTGGTGTTGGTGATGGTGATGGTGATGGTGATGGTGATGGTGATGGATGGTGATGGTGATGGTGATGGTGATGGATGGTGATGCTGATGCTGATGCTGATGCTGATGCTGATGCTGATACTGATGCTGATGCTGATGCTGATGCTGATGCTGATGCTGATGCTGATGCTGATGCTGATGCTGATGCTGATGGTAGTGATGACGATGACGATGACGGTGAGGATGCTTATGGTGACGATACGTAGCGGTGAGGATGGTGGTGCATGGAAATGACGATGGTGTAGATGATGGTGACGACGACTAATCGGAGGAGGACGAGGAGAAGGAGGAGCAGGAGGAGGAGAAGGAGGAGGAGAAGGAGGAGCGGGGACAAGTTGGCCAGAAGGAGGAAATGGGAGGGAGGAGGAAGAACGAGAAGGGGGAGCAGGACTCATCGTAGGATTTGGAGGAGGAGGAAGAGTCGAAGCAAGACGGGCAGGAGGATTCACAGGAAGACCGAGAGGGTGCTGACGAAGAGGAGGAAGAGAAGGAGGAAGAGCAGAGGAGGAGGAGGAGGAGAACGAGGACGAGGACGAGGAGGAGGAGGAGGAGGGGGAGGAGGAGGAGGAGGAGGAGAAGCAGCAGCAGGACGGGGACGAAGACGAGGAGGAGGATGAGGAGGAGGAGGAGGAGAAGCAGAGGATCACGAGGAGGAGCAGAAGCAGCAGGACGAGGACGAGGACGAGGACGAGGACGAGGATGAGGAGGAGGAGGAGGAGGAGGAGGAGGGGGGGAGGAGGAGGAGAAAGCGTCCTCTCGCTTCACGAGGCGCACGCCCGGAGCACGTCAGGCCTGGGCGTTGGGTGGCTTGCCCTGGTCGTCTGGTGCGCTGGTCTGCCGTGCCGCTCTGCCCACCCGGGGGCGCTGCCAGCGCCACGGGGGGGGCGTAGGCGCCCCGCCCCGCCCCCCCTCGTTTAAGCGCTGGGACGAGTGCCGCGAGGACACGCCTCCTCCTCCTCCTCCTCCTCCTCCTCCTCTCCTCCTCCTCCTCCTCCTCCCTCCTCCCTCCTCCTCCTCCTCCTCCTCCTCCTCCTCCTCCTCCTCCTCCTCCTCCTCCTCCTGCCCGAGGGTGGGAGCCTGGCACCTGTTCTCATAGTGTCAGCGCCACACACTCCTCGGGGCACACTGTCTGTGTCAATTGCATGCGGCGGCTGGGGGCCGATAAACCGGCGTTCGTCGTTCTTGTACCATGTACCAGCCACGTGGCACTTTGCCCGAAGCAGCGGCGCGGGGAGCGTGCATTTGGTTGAGAGGCGGGGCCATGTGGTCCGTAAGTCTCTTGGGACCTTGTGTCCGCTCACCCTGGGGTACAAACCCAGTTGCACATGCCATCCGGTTCGGCAGGGGTGACGGTCGGGAAGTACTGCGCGGTGACGCGGTGAACCGGCGGTCCCCCTACGCACTACGCCGTCTCGGTTGGGCAGCGAGTCGCTGAGCGACGAGGTATCTGCCTTTTCCCCTGACCGTCGGTGCTGGCGCCTGCGGGCCCGTTCCTCCTGTCTGGGAGGCCGAGGGTGACGGTTGAGCCTCGCTCGCCGCTCACTTCTTGGATCTATGACACTCACGACACTCCTCCTCCTCCTTCTCCTCCTCCTCCTCCTCCTCCTCCTCGTCTTCCTCCTCCTCTTCCCTCCTCCCTCCTGCCTCCTTCCTCCTTCCTCCTTCTCCTCCTTCTCCTCCTCCTCCTTCTCCTCCTCCTGCTCCTCCTGCTCCTGAGTGTCCACCAAGGCACCGAGCACTCACCGCGTGTCAGCACAAGGCAACGCCCCGGTCAAGCTCCGATGCGCACAGCAACAGCGCGCCATTAGTAAACAATTCCGCTGGCCCCTTCGTGGTTTGCGGGGGGGTCGTTTGGGGGCTTCTTGGAGGCCTCTTGGAGGCTTCTTTGGGTCCCCAATGGGCTCCTTTGGGGCCTCTTTGGGGCCTCTTGTGGCGGGCCCTCTTGCGCCGTCTGGCCCCTTCGGAGGCCGTCTTAAGGGGCTCACGAGGTCGCCTTGGAGCTTCCTTGAGGTCCTCTTGGGCCGTCTTGGGGGCCTCCAGTACCGTCTCGGAGGCTTGTTTGGGCCATATCGGGGTCGCACTGGTGGCCTCTTGTGCTGTCTCGGGGCCATATTGGAGACTGCTTGGGCAAAGCTGTTCAAAAGCCTGTGGGAATCATTATTCAACCGCTTCCCTCATTCCACCTGCCCATATCGCATGATCACTGGGTCTTCGCCGCGGGCTCGAGGCCAATACGGCGCCGCCGAGGAGGAGAAGGAGAAGAATGATGATAGGGGAAGGGGAGGGGAGAAGGATGAGGAGAGGATGATAAGGAAAGGGGGAGGAGGTGGAGGAGGAGGAGGAGGAGGAGTAGGAGGAGGAGGAGGAGGAGGAGGGAGGAGGAGGAGGAGGAGGAGGAGGAGGAAGAGAGGATGAGGATGAGGATGAGGAGGAGGAGAGAGGGAGGAGGAGGAGGAGAGGAGAGGAGGAGGAGGAGGAGGAGGAGGAGGCGGAGGCGCAGGCGGAGGAGGGGGCGGAGGCGGAGGCGGAGGAGGAGGCTTCTCGAGAGCATCTTGCGACGCCCTGAGGCCAAACAGGGTCGTCGTTGAGGTGTTTCTTCAGGAGGCCTCTTGAGGTCTCTCGAGAGACCTCTCGGGGGCGCCCGAGGGGGCATGTTTGAAGCCTCTGTGGGGGCCTCTCGGAGGCTTCTCGGGCCTTTGGGCCACCTGGAGCCGCCTGGGAGCCTCCCGGGGCCTCTCGGGGCCTCTTGGGGACCTCTTGGGGCCTCTCGGGGGCCGCTTCGGGGCCTCTTTGGGGCCTCTCGGGGGCCTCTGGGAGGTGTCGGGGGGCCTTTGGGGGCTTCTTGAGGGCCTCGTGGCGGCTCTTGGGGCATCTTAGGGGCCTCTCGGGGTATCTCGGAGCCCTCTTGGGAGCCTGATGAGCCGTCTTGGGATGATTTCTGGTGCCTCTTTGGCCGTCTCGGACGCAAACGGGGGAGATGCTAAACATGTACGCCTCTCGATTGGAATGGAAGCATTTCTGCTGCTCGAAGCTATCCTAAGAGGCCTCTTGGGGGCCTCTTGGGCCGTCTTGAGGCAAGCCCTCTTAGAACGCTCTTGGACCGTCGCTGGTTCATCCTGCATCTCTTCTAGTTTATTTTGGGGGCATCTTAGGCTGTCTTGGAGGTTTCTTGAGCCATCTTGAGGTCTCCGGGCGCGCCCTGGGCGGCCCCGAGGGTAGCGCCGAGGAGCTAAGCCATCTCTGAGTAGAGTTTCCTGCGGACTTGCCGGAGACTTGCCGGGGATTTGCCGGGGAAAAGCCTTTGGTCACCGAGCGCATTCCACTACTCGCAAAGTGCCTTGCCTACTCGCTAACGTGCGGGAAACAGATGTCTGCTTCGATATAATTTCTCGTAGATCCCCCCCGGCGGATCCAGGCCATTCGCGAGTAGTCACTTTGCGAGTAGTGAAACGCGCTCGTCTATTTGGGGAATCATTATGTTGTGCCTCAGTGGCCCTCTTTGGGGCCCTCACGGGGCCATCTTTGGGCCGCCCTGGAGGCTTCTTGGGCCTTCGGCCTGTCTCGATGCTATCGTGAGCCGTCCTGCCCCAAGAGGGCCCCCAGGAGTCCAAAGAGGCCCATATATATACATATATATATATATATATATATATGTGTATATATAATGTGTGACTCGATGTATATATATATATATATATATATATATATGAATCGAAATATCGATAAATACCGCCCCCCCCCGCCCCGGGTCCCACACCTCCCTGGAACATCTCGGGAACGCTCCCGGTACCGCTCCTCCGGCCTTTCCGGGGAGCCTCCACAGCGCTCCAGGAGGTCCCAAGACGCCTCCCAGGAGCCCCAGAATACGAAAGAAAGGCCCAAGACGCTCCCAAGCAGCCCAAGTCAGCCTTCCGATGGCTCTCGAGGCTCCCAGGTGGCCTCCAAGAGACCCCAAGAGAGGTCCGAGAGGCGTCCCGCGAAGGCCCGAAGAGGCCCAAATCGTCGATTTGCATTGTTTCTTTTATTTGTTTTGGCTTCTCGCGTATTCGAGCTTCCAACGCTCCAAGAACGCCGAAGATCCGCCCAAGACCGCCTAAGACCACCCACGAGACCCTCAGGACGGCCCCAAGACGGGCCAAGAAGGCTCCAAGACTGCCGAAGAGGCGGTTAGGACAGCCCCAGACCACCCCAGAACAGGCCCAAGATGGGCCCAAGAGCGGGAGCATATGCAGGAGGCTTCCAGAGACCTCCGAGGGGCCTCCGGGACCCCCCAGAGGCCCCCAACGCACCCCCGATCCATGAGAGGCCCTAAAAAGACCCCGACGAGGCTCCAAGAACAGCCCAAGAGAGCTGCGAGAGCCGTCCCGAGAGAGCCCAAAGAGGGTAAAATCGTTGATATCCAATGGTTTTTCTAATGTGTTTTGCCTTCTTACGTTTTCCCGCTTCCAACCCTCGAAGATCGAGGATTTGAAAAAAACAAATGGAATTACTAGAATTCCTTTTTTTTGGAAACTGGGACTCCTACTCGGGCCTCCGACACATCCCCTGACATCTGGCCAGTACCGCGCCTCCCGGCTTCTTGGGGAGACCCCAAAGCGCCGAAGAACAGCTCATGACGACCCCAAGAAGCTCCCAGAACGTAAAGAACGGCCCAAGACGCTCCCAATCAATCCCAAACACCCTGAAGACGGTTCTCCACGCTCCCAGGAGACCTCCCAAAGGCCCCAAGAGAGGTCCGAGAGGCGTCCCGCGAAGGCCCGAAGAGGCCAAAATCTTTGT